AAAACATTTAACAGATTAACAGTTGAGATTTTCACACTCAAATCTAAAATTCATTTTGGGGCTACTAATAATTTCATTATTTTTTATTTATTAATTCCTATAAAATCAACCAATTCATTGACTCACTCAGGGTACAAAAATACACATATTCAGCTAAATATATACGTGTTCGCAAGAATCCTTTATTGTACCTTATTTAAGAGCTTGGTGATATTTTGTTAGTAATAAAGTCCTGAAAACAACTGTGAAAATAAGTTTTATATTAGCTTGCTTTGACATTTGGCCATTTGGTTAAGATGACAACATATATAATTGGAAGCATCAAGGTTAGGATTCTACACTAAAGAGCACAATGTCAGTTATTAAGAATGGTGGTGGTAGTATTATGCTGTGGGACTGTCTTTTATTTTTAGTCTGGAATCTTGCTGCACATTTTTCTCATATTAACCATAAAGATTTTGATCATCTTCAGTTATTTTTATTTTTTTATTTTTTTTAAATCAAAACTCTTCACTAGAACATAGGAGCTCACTTCACTCTTGTTTCCATTGGTTAACACTGCTTCGTTTAAAAATTAATTTTCAAAACTTGCTGTTAAACTTTCAAGTCAAATATCTTCCAATATACTTCAAAGGTCCTCTAAATAGAATTGAAAGGGATTGCTCTTTTCAGACTGTTGCATCTCGACTGTGGAGCGAGAGCCTCCTATTTTTATAATGTCTTCAGATATTAGACATTTAAACATCACATAAAGAAATTCGGATCCATGCTTTTCTTTAATATTTGTTTTTATGTTTATTCCCCACCTTTGTGAAGCACTTATTTCTTTTTATCTATTATTCAGTCAGTGACATACAAAGTAGTTCAGAACCTTTAGAAAAGGTAATTAAATAAAAAATTATGAAAACACAGAAGCTCTTTTCACCCACTTAGAAATTGTTGTCCTGTTTTAGCATGCAAATGTAAATATATTCTGATTAAAGGTATATTAAATGTATTCCTGCCTGTTTCATTAGCGTATCAAACTCTGACACCAGACTAGCCCCACATCATTATACTACCACTAATATCCTTGACATGTACATGGTGGTGGTAGTATTATGCTGTGGGGCTGGTCTACTGGTACCGTCAGAATTCAAATCCAACACTACTTTACCTCTCAAACATGTGGTAGCAGAAAACTAGCCCCATAGTATGATACTACCACCACTATGCTTAACAGGTGGTGATGGTAACTGTGTTTATACAACCAGGACAATCTGTCAGGCATGATGGTGGAAGTATTATGCTATGGGTCAATCTGCTACCACCATGTTTGTGAGATAAAGTAGTGCTGGATTTAAATGATGAGGGTGTTAATAGACAAGCCCCCACAGCATGAAACTACCATCACAACGATCAGGTCCAGAATTTTAGTGGTAGTATAATGATGTGGGGATAGTGTGTTTACAAAGGGCTGCAAAAAGACCTTTTTATGTGAATCAGCAGTTTATGAGCGTCGTTTAGTTTTATGTAAGCAGCTGAGAAAGTCAATTTTTATTCAGCAAAGAAAAAAGTAGGAACAGAAGTCAATCATGATCAAAATCAAAATACTTATTTTTTTTATAACTTATGAAAACATTTAGCTGAATGCCTTTATTAGCACCTGTATAGATACATCCACAATAGATTAAAACGTTCCCATCTAGTTTGCGTTTTTTTGCACCTATGTTGCAGTTTTCAGTATATTTGCACAGAGGTGAGCAGGTAGTTTGCTACTTATTGTTGTTAGCATCATAAATGACATAGTTTCTTGTTTCCCGTTTTATTATAAGGATTGCTTGGTAATAGTGACTGCATCCGTGAAGATGACCTTATCAGAAATATCCTGATGTCTAATGTTAAATGAGAGGCTTTTTTTTACACACAAATAACGAATACTGTTCCTTAAACATTATGAAATGGTTCTTCAAACAGCAAAATAAGACATAAAAAAAACTTTAAATTACAGAAATCACAAACAGTTCTTATAAAACAGAATTGCTATAATTAGTCTATTTAAAAGAGAAGCAAAACAGAATAATTTAGGTAAATTATCTCTCTGATGTGGCCTAATGAAAACAAACACCTTGCTGCCAATTTCTGATGGGCCATCTTTCATCTGAATGGACACAAAGACTTGAAACCCACGTCTTATTGAACTGTCTGATTGTAAATTCACAGATTTGGCCAAATTTCCAAGACAAACACAAAAAACCTGCCAGCAAACCCTTCAGATATCTATGCACCCCCTGGCGCAGGCTGCCAATTAGCATGATCTCTAAAGCGCTAATGGAATCTTGAGCTGTCATAAAAGTAAATAATTAAATTAGAGGGGCTCTCCTGTCATTGTTTGCTGTATTCGGACCCATTAGAACCTCCAGTATTCTCATGGTAATTAAATGTTGCTGAGGTTTATTTGTCTCGTAATGAATTCTGTGTTTTCCCTCCAAACAGAGTTGTTCAGACATTTGTGTAGGTTCTGGCAGAGAAACAAAGACGTACATTAGGAGCTATTGTCACCCCCCCTTCCTGCGATTATAAAAGTAAACATGAAACCCTGAAGAGGCATCATCCACAGCTGCACACACTTGAGCTTGTGTTTGTGAAGTGGGAGAATAGGCCAAGCAACCCTCAAGACTTCGTCAGAGATGATCCCATTATTCGAAGCATCTCAAGAGTCGAGGGGAGCCTCGCAGGTCGATGGGGCTTTGAAGACCCAATGTTTGGTTCACAGGAGTGGGACAGGTTTGGCACAAGATAAAATGGCTCAGCAAAGATTGACAAGGAGACCTGTGCTTTCATTTTTGCCGACATTTTACTTCCAAGTCCTATAAAAAACAACCTACTTACTGTTCTTAAAACATAAATGTCCAACTATGATTCTTTCTGTTAATAGTAATCATGAGGAATCTAAATTTAAAAGGGATTCTAATCTAATCTAACCTTGAAGTCGTAGAGAAGTCATATTTAAATTTCAAATAATTCTGGCTTAAACATGTATATAAATGCACTCTTTATTACACCATATTGTCCCAAAAGTTATAAATTTCTATAGAAAAAAACCCTGTCTTAAAATCTGTGGGTTTTTTTTCCCCTATTTTATTCAGGCCAGTTATATGTCAGCTTGTACACCTAAATTCAGCCAATAATATATCAACGGTCATCTGTCAATCAAGTTTTTTCAGTCATAGCATCTAGATTCATATGCTGCAGCTAATATACGCAACGGTTGCAAGAAGAAATAGGAATAATTTATTTTACCATTGAGTTTCGTCCCAGTGTTCACGGGGATGGATGTCTGTGCCTTCGGCAGCTGTAGAGCTTACAGAACTGGCAGCACTGCTAGGCAAGGGCTCAAACATGTACGGCTGAGACTCATCCACGACCTCCGACACAAAACTCTCCTCCTGCATGTTTCCGCTGTCCATAGTGTTCCTTGACAGTGTCGTTTCTAAGTCACTAATTTAGTGCTAATTAGTCCCAATTGAATTTCCTATTGAGAACTGACTAGCGCTAAGTTGCTGGTTAGCAAGATGCTTCCGACAAACCGGCCACAACTAAACTTGCTTGCGAACCTTCGACCACAACAATCCTGCCACCTTGATAATCGACTAATCAAATTCACTTTATTTACACTTGGGAGAATTCGGAACTACAACCGTTGGAATAGCCGCTTCCCTACAACTTTAAAACTCTGCACCAATCAGAGCACCAACCATCAGAAATAGATGGTTGCTATGGAGACTAAAGAGTCTACTTTTTTGCAGCAGTTATCAACCTGTGGTGGACTCCGAATGTCTGCCCTAACCAATTTATAGGGCACTATATTGTGGTTACACCATTTTTAAATGAGAGTCCAAATATCTAGTAGATGAAAAAGTTGTGGATTCGAAATTTCTCACAATGCAACTTGAAAAGTAGTGATCATCCATGGTCACTAGAAGAGCAGACATCACCCGGAATACTTTGCGAGGAGAACTCTCCTCGCAAAGTATTATGGGATTTGTTGCCACAGCGTCCAAATGCTCAGTTAACTGAGTTCACTATAAAGTCCACCATATAGTCCACGCTCTGTAGAGAGATTGAGGGATATAGGAGTTAGCGCAGCCTGTGAGCATTAGACTTTATTTTGACTTACTCTCTCCTCCCGCCCTTTGACTTATGTGTGGTTGCATGATAAAGGTGAGTCCTTCTCCATCAGTTCCAGATGTTTTTATCATTTTAATCTCAACTCCGATGGTAAATATGGACAAAGTTACCAGAGTATTTTCATCTTTCTATTCCAAGCTTTATATAGATTAACACACACCAGGCTCACTTTATTTTAAATGTTCTCTACTTTCTTCCCTTTTTAAAAGGCAGGTTAAAAGAAACAAGCCTCATAGTTCCCTTCAAGCAAAATGGAAAATGATGATTAATAATCAAATGTTACAAGATACCTTTATTAAAAAAAGCATAAAATAAAAAAATATAAATTGGATTTGTTTAATAGGAACTCTTGCTAATGACTGAGACACCAAGGATTTGTTTACAACACTTTTTATTATTAATGGTAGTTTTGATCATTTTGCTGTTTTAATTACTGTAGAAGGACATTTAAAAAAAATTTCCAGTTAGACTCCAAGTTGCTTCAATAAAAATTCCGTTTAATTAAAAGCCTTTAACATAAGCTCTGGTAGTGGCAGCATCAGATTGGAAGGGTCACTTTATTAGACGTTTTTTACAACATTTTAAATGATTTGGGACTTTAAAAAATTAAACATCAAGTATTATAAAGATTACCAAACACTGGAAGGTAATTTATTTGGATCTGTAACAATTAAAGCTTTGGGTTCTTCTAAAAAAAAAAAAAGTATGGTATTCTCGATTCAGATCTAGATCCATTTGGGGGTTGGGAATGTTTCACCTTCATCTGACTTAACTCATGCAACTTTGGAGGATAATTTGTCTTTCTGCGGCATTCATTTAGTGTTGTCAAACTATTTTGAAGGATTAATGAGATGTGTGGAACATCACATGTCCAGGAACAGCAGCCGGGGATCTTCTACCACTTCTTTGATCTTACGCAAGAACTTGACCGCTTCCCTGCCGTCGATGAGCCGGTGGTCATAGGTCAGCGCCACATACATCATGGGTCGGACTTCAACCTGCAAAAACAGACCATTTTGTTCATTATATCCTCATATAATATAATGTCTTCATAACAGGTAGATCCTTTTTTTAAGATACGAAGCCAACCTTTCCATCGACAGCCACTGGTCGGTCGAAGATGCCATGCATGCCAAGAATGGCCGACTGCGGGGGGTTAATGATTGGGGTGCCAAACAGGGAGCCGAACACGCCACCATTGCTAATAGTAAATGTTCCTCCATCCATATCTTCAACAGTTAACTCATTTTTACAAGCCTGATGAACAAAAAGAAAAATACTTCTCAGAATTCTGCAGTAAGAAAATAAAAATGTCTGGAGGTGGCGTTTACCTTTTCTCCCAAAACATTTATGGCTTTCTCAATCCCAGCAAAATTCATAGCTTCAACGTTACGTAGCACTGGTACCACAAGACCCTACCAGGTGAAAGGCATGAAGAAGTAAAACTACATTAGATTTGTAGGAAGTCAAATTCATCAAGACTTTAGCAGCAGTAGTAACAATCATTATACACTTTTAATTAGTGAAATCCATACCTTTGGAGTTGCCACGGCAATGCTAATGTCAACATAATCTCTATAGATGATCTCTTTGCTTGTATCGTCAATAACTGGAGGAAAAAATATAACAGAGTTTGACTTAAACAAAGGTCAGCTTCTATGGAGAATCTGGGCCTGTGATGAAACTAGAATGTTAAAAACAAACCCTATGTTCCACCGTATGCAGAGATAAATGTTGCAATGTGTTGCAAAAGTATTCAGACCCTTTCAACTATTTTATGTTTCATTAGTTAATCCTAAAATGTCAGTTTGGGATTCTTTGTGGTAAACTGCTCTGAATTGAAATGAAAACAAACGTTTTTTAGAAAACAAAAAAGGGGGAGAAAAGGAAAAGTCAGCCTCCTTTACTCTGATATCCTTAAATAAAATCCAGGATCCAAAAACAGGATTCTTGAACAAACCACATCAATAGTCTTGTCATAAAAATTTGGAAGTTTATAACAGTTGCTTGGGGAATAAAACAATAATCCAAGGGTTTGGAGTACCATTCAAGCTTTGATTGTAAAAATGGAAAACAGCATTGAACAACAAGACATGTAACCGTGCACAGAAATGTAAAAATCCCATGGAAAAAGGTATTCTGGTTCTATGAGATTAAAATCATACTTTTTTGGCCTATAAGCAATATTTTGCTAAAAAAAATAACCGCAACTTGAGTGAAACATTGTGTTTGTACTGGATTATTTTCTCTACCACAGACAGGAAACGCTGGTCAGAGATGACAGGAAAGTGAGGGCCAGCTATATGACACAGTTTGGAGCTCTGCTTGTGTTCACTTACCAGCGTTGACAGCAGGTTGATCCATCAGAGCATGCGAAGCCGCCTTAGCAAAAGCTGACATGAAACCCAGTTTGACGTTGTGCTTCTGTAAGAAAGCCTCCTTATAGAGCTTCCTCATTTCCTTGATGTTACTAGAAAACATGACAGACATGACAGCAGATCAGGGAAGATGGAATCAGAAGTGAAGCTTGCAGTCCAAGATGTTTCCAGTGGTTTTCCTTAACTCACCTCATGTCTACTTCGTTGAAGGTGGTCAGCATGGCGCAGGTGTTCTGAGCTTCCTTGAGCCTTTGAGCAATTCTTAGCCTCATACGGCTCATTCTTTCCTGAACACATGAAACAAACCTGCAGTCTGTATTCCTTTAAATTTGGTGTAAATGCCTAGAAAGAAACAAATGTTCCCTCAGCTTTTCTTTACCCTGCTTTCCCCTCGGATTCCCGCTGCTGGAGGTGCTGGAGCTACATGAACGGGTTCGACAACAGCAGCTACACCAAAAAGTGAGGGGAAATAGTAGAAAACAACAAATTAGACCATAGAAAAAAAAAAAACTTTTCTATTTTATTAATAACTGATGGTGTTGAGATACATACCAGGTGGGGCTGAATCAGGCTGTGGTGGAGGTGGGAAGGAGGCAGCAGAGGTAGAGGGCTGAGGTGGAGGTGGGGATGAGGCAGCAGAGGTAGAGGGCTGAGGTGGAGGTGGGGATGAGGCAGCAGAGGTAGAGGGCTGAGGTGGAGGTGGTGGATGAGCAACATCCTCTGCAGATGGGGAAGGAGCAGCTTCAGCAGCTGGAGCAGCTAAGAAGTGAGATGTTAGCTGTATGATTTGTTTAATATTAATACAAACACACCATGCTTTACAATTATTGGCATTCCTGATAAAGATGTGCATAAATGCCCTAAAGCAAACAGTTGATATAAAGATTCCTTTACATTAGTATTTGTTCTCTCACAATAATATTTCCTTCCTCCTTCCTAACTATCCTCCTGACTATTCATAGTGGCAAGATATAAAATAATTTATAGACAATGCCAAATATAAAGGCATCAGTTGAATTTATTCTGTAAAAATTGATGCAATGTTTTTTTTTTTAACCAGTAAAAACAAAATAAAATGATTTTTCTCAGTGGAACATTCTGCTGCATCAGTAAAACAGGAAGATTTTTGAAAACATTTTATGAATATTTAACACGTTGTGTTAAAGATACTATAAAGACTTACTACTGCATAGTATATGTCCTGCTATACTTCTTTATTGCCTTTATCTTTTAGGCCACATTTTATTCAACTTTCCTACGTAAAAAAAATAGTGAATTTAAATCTTTGAAATTGAAAAACAAAACATCAAATCATCTACTTCCAATTTCCTTCAAGATTAAAAAACCCATTAACAAAAAGTCCACCGCATTATGCTGCATAGTGAGTCTTGTAACCTATGGATCAAGTTTGTACCATTTATTGTCTTTTTAAGACAATTAAAGTAAAAATTTTTATAGCAACATTCATACTCTAAGTTAATCATGGGGATTTAGAGGGAAATAAAGGAACAAACGTAAATAGTGCTACTTAGACTAAGCATATAAAAGAGAACAAATACAAACTGATTATACAAATTGATTATTTATTTAAAATGCATTTAGGTTTAAGGACATTAAGTGCATTATATACCAGAAATAAGACACTGTTTATAAGAGTGTGCCACTTTCTATTCAGTCAGGATGCTTTTAGTGATATTTTGCTTGAGCTAAAGCTGCAAGATTAATGTTATTCAGTTTTTGCAACAATCATGGTCATATAGGCAACAAACAACCCTGCTGATAAAAAAAGGATGCATCAATTTTAACCTGTTTGCACAAAATTACTTTCATTTTGATGATATTTATAGTAGCAGCATAAAATTCTGTAAAGGGAATTAGGTTTCTGATAAAGTCTGTAGGTCTGTATCTTATTTAGCTTGGGTGATTCCTAATCGCTAACGCTGTGGTTTGGGGACCCCAAAAAATTATGTCTGTATTATCTGCATTTAGACTGAAAAACATGCATAATTGACTTATTTATTTTATAGTCTTTCAGTTGATATTAATGGCTGTTTTTATGTGTTAAAATAAGCATTTAAAGTTGAATATAATATGTGTGTAACGTATATTTAAATGATTATATTCTAAACTAGGACAAGCATATAGGCACTGAAAAAAATGGGCAGAAAATTGAGCCCTAAGGAACTCCAAATGTTGTATATGTTTAGGAAAATATAAATTTCTAAATATAAAGATTTTATATAACAACAAAAAACAAATTAGCATGGTTAATGTTGTAAAACCTTAGACAATACTTTTTTTCAAAATGATCAAACCTGTTTTCCGTAGTTTGAACAGCGGAGTTCCGGTTTCCACCCTTCCTCCATCGGGGACCAGCAGCTCCTCGATCACACCGGCTACAGGCGTAGGGACTTGAATTGATGTCTGGAAGAGGAAGGATGTGTTTTCACAGGAAAACCAACAACAAAAACTGAGTTGAATTTTCCATATCAAACCTTGTCAGTCTCGACTTCACACACCACTTCATCCTGTGCTACCGAGTCACCCACCGCTTAAAATAAAAGAAATTAAAAACTGCTTATTATGCAAAACAGAAAGCTTAACAATATCTCCTTAGAGTTGATAAATACTAACCTTTCTCCCACCTTACATCACCCTCTGTGATTGACTCAGCAAATGGAGGAGTGTTGATTGTCACCAATTCATCTCCTGTAAGAAAAAGTTCATAAAATATATACGAGTTACCATTAGAGACACAAGGAGAGTTCCTTTAAAATGATTTTAGAGAATTCTACATACTGTAAGCAGCAGATGTCCTGAAATATCTGCAATGGTATGAACTGGATGGGACCAACAAGAAGGCTCTATGGAAAAAAAAAGCAAATACAATTGAGTAAATTCACTTTTGAACAATGGCATCTATTTGAAATATCAACTTTCAATTAAATGTTATTAAAGTGATAAATTATGTTTAATGTCTGATGTTTTCTTTTATTTTTTGGTAACTCATTAAATGATTAATGGTAAGAAAAATGCTGAATTTAAAACAAACCCAACAAAAACAAAACAAGTGATCAGAGAACTTACGGCTGGGATTTCCTGTAAACAGTCTGGCTGCAGAGCGATCGACCTTTGAGCAAATAAAGGTTAGATGAGTCAATTTAAAAGCTTGAATCCATGCAAAGAAAAATAATTATTTTTTATCAATCATTTTTGGTCCAGAATGAGACAAATGGTTATGCAGCAGAAGAAGCAACATAAATTGAATACATTAAATCACATAATATAAAAATAAAGTTTATATTGTTGCGGTTTTCAAATCCAGTCAAAGAAAACCTTACCTGATAAATTCGGCAGAATTCTCAAATTATAAACCTTTAAAGCAAAACAAGGGGATTAGATTGATTTACCTCCATAGCTAAAATGTTTCTCTAAGTAAAAGGCAGCTTTAAATAAATTCCCCTGCCAGAATGTATTTAGAAAAGAATAAAATAGAATAGAAAATCCCTTTAAATTAATTTTTTTATTATTAAAAAAACCTTAGAAAAGTGTATAAGAATAACATACTAGTGAAGAGTTAAAAGATAAATAATAAAAACTGTACAGTTAAGTATTTCAATTATATAAAAATGTGCACCTGGACATTTTACAGTAATGGATAATTGAAAATATCAGCAAATATCATATCAGCATTTATTGTGTCTCATTAAAATAAAATCCAGAGATTCTCATCTTGTTTAGCAGCCTATAAAAAAAAAAAAAAATTAGCTATGAATTAAGGGCAGATATTTCTCTAATGATTAGGCCTTTTAAATGAAACTGAAAAAAGTATCTTTTGCAAGCAGATGGATGATAGAAAACAGATGGATGAAAAGTTGATCAATAAATCTAAGACTTTCTAACAGTTATGCTTATCAATAGATGGAAACTAAATTGAATAAAAATGATTTTCCAAACCCTGTTTAATAAATGATTTTTATTGGAGCTTAATTTCAGGGAGCCACATTTTGCTGCTGTTGTTTCAACAGAAGTTGTAAGATTTTTGTTTACCTTCCATCATTAACATACTGTGAATTACACTGCCACTGCTTTAAACTATTTAAATGTTAGTTTTAAATGTAGAAAAAGGCAGATTGCTAATGACCTGACTTACATGGCATGTTCTTTTCTTTCCATTTTGAAGTTTTGTTTATCATATTTACACCCCAAGAAAACCAGTGACTGAAATATTATCATACATTTTGGATTTTAAAGAGAAAAGTTCAATTTTTTAAAACACAGGCCTGGGGAGCAATAATTTCTTTTAAACATGCTTTTAAAACTCTTTTTTTTTCCTTTTGAATTAAAATAATACAAATACAAAAAGTCAATTCATTTTGAACCACAGAAAAAGTAAGATGGATTTCTATAGAACCTATTTCTAGGTTTTTCTTACATCTTTACAGTTGGGTGATGACATTTTTGAAAGATATCATGAAAGGCCATTTTCTCAAATTTTTTAAGTCGCTGAAATGTGTTAATTAAAAATGTATGTATTTAACATTTATTTAATGTGCAGATATTTTTTGGATTCCCACCTGCCTACTTTTTAAAATGATCGTAAATCCATAATGTGTATATTTATAAAAGTGTATTTTACAAGGGGACGTTCCATTAAAATGCCAGTTAAATAAGTATTGAACTATGAGTTCCCAGATGGTTCTTGGTATGTTTCAGGAAGCAGCCAATGAATCTATTACCTCGATCTTTGTGAATCAAAACACACATTATTTTTTTATGAATGCGATAAAGAATCCTTTTCCTTTCTAGACAGTAAAACACTTAGAGCTTCCACAGCTGGTTAAACCGCTTCATTTTCCGGTGTGGAGGAAACAGACTGCTGTTGGCTTTGAACCATGTATGACTCATATATGTGTGTGTTTTCTGGGCAGGGCCCTCCTCCACAGCGTTATGTTTTTGTTTTTTTCCTACTAACCTGATGTTTGTCTAGTAAAGCCGCTCATGCTAAAACCTATTGATGTGGGATGTCTGGGGAGGGCGGAGATGGTAAAAGTGCAACCAAACATAGTTCTTTGGTTCATGTGTAGACATGCAGCTATCAGGTTACACCACTTTCAGTGAGTTTTAAAAAGAGCTATGAAGCTATAGAGTTCTTGTTTTAGGGATTTTAAAGCAGGTTTTAATCTTGAATTATTAATGCTTTCCAAATCCAATCATCTGGTTATATTATAAGTATGTGAATCCATGACTTTAGGCTGATTTATACTTCGAAACCAGGAACACAACTCGTGAAGTTTGACCAGCTAGAAGAGTGAAGTGCGATAGAAGGATGGGACACATTTTCCACTTGGATCCACGCTCTTTTTCGCCATCATGTCCCTCCGTTGTCGGACTAAGCAAGAGACCCACAGCGTATAGCGCAGACCACGCTTCAATATTGAGCATAAATCAAAAATGTCTGCATCAAGCTCACTGCGACACATTGCTGCAGGAGTATAACCAGCCCTTTAGTGTGCAACCATAGTTTAAAGATGTTTTACACCCAAATGAAAACACTAAAATGCCTTTTGGCATGCTGCTCTGTGACCATACAGACTGCAGCCATGAACAACCTTTGAGTATAATTTTTTTTATAGATATCAGAGCACTCTTTCCCATTTGCTCCATTTCAAATGGTTGGTTTTCAGACACAGATGGTCTCTGTAGCTTTAATTTTAAGATTCAGGTTCAGGAAATGAAGGTTGTCTCTCCTTCTTTTCCATCCAAGAAGTGCTACTGTTGCCAGCGTTAGTCCCACCATTACTACTGCTGGCAGCAAAGAGCCCCACAGAATGATGGTCCCACCACTATGTCTGACACTTCACAGGGTTCTTAGGGTTAAAAGTTGCACCTTGACTTATTTCTGCTTATTTTGGGATGAGTGGAATATGGACTAAATTATGGTCCAGTACTCGTTCTGCTAAAAAGCTTATATTAGATATCAAGCTGCTTTCACTGGCATTTCAAAGTAATTACTGTCTTAAGTCTGATCCATCAGGACGTCCCAGTACAACTTTTTCTATTACTCATACAACGCAGCTTTGAGTATTGGCTGATACCAATATCGACCAGAGACAAATATCAGCATGAAACACACATCCTTTTGTTACTTATTTTGAAGTGTGGAATGATAGAAAAGGCCTGATCAGGTTATATTTCTCCAACAGAGAACAACAACCAACATGGTATGAAAAACAACTGACCTATTATCTATTCACCAAAGAGTTGCATAAACTTTAAACAAAAGCGGATAGAAGCCAAGTGTCTATGAGCTTTCTAATATCGGAGATTTTAAAGGAAATCTGATCAGAGACGTAGCAAGAATTTTTTTTTTACAAGGGTGGCCAGGCAATAACCAATGTACACTGAGGGGCAGCTGGAAATTAATCGGCACAACATCAATATTTTCTAAATAAAGAAAAATTATACTTTCTTTCAACCTTTGCTGACAAATAGTGGCATAAATATTGAAACATCTGTGATTTCTAGATAAAAGGCATAGTGGATACAATTCTTTGAGGTTTGATTTATGGGGCGAACATCTTTTCCATCATTACTTACCTACTTTTATCAATTATAATTCTGCATAAAATTGATATTTACAAGTACTAACATCTACATAAATTATTTAATAAGAGACACATCATTTTCTCTTTACCTCATATAACACAACATCTAGTTCTGAAAAGAGCGTGAATTCTGTACTTATCATTAATGTTAGTATATTAATGTGCATAATTAACCACAGTGTTTTGTTGTCAAGTAATTGTAAATATATGACCAATTAAAAAAAATATATATATATAAATATTCCACCATCTGTATTAGAGGGAAAAGTGTTTTCATGGGGGCCCAGAAAAGCATGAAAGAGATTCAAATATATTAAGAGAGCTGCATGAAGTGAAATTTCTTTTCAATTCGGTTCAATAAAAATTCTATTTCTTATGAGGTCAATATACATTTATAATTTAGGGATTTTACATATTTTTGACTTAATTTAAGTTAAAACTACAGTTTTCTATAAAATTTTAATTAGAACTCAAGAAAAACTGTTAAATTCATCTGTAAGAATTAGAGCATTTATTAAAAAACAATTAGCAGATGAAAACTGGGATCCTATCTCAGTACCACTGAAGCTATCACCTTATTTGTTTTTGAGTAATGAAAAATGAAAAGGACGTATCAGTAACCATGTCTGTTCCAGCCCAGATCATTATTAGAATTTCTTTTAAGTATTATGTCTTCAGTACAGGGGCCATAACGGGGGCCAGGACATGATCAACAGGGGCACTGGCCCCCGTTGGCCCCTGTCAAGAACCGCCCATGTATCAGATCATATATCAATATCTGATTAGGACAAATCTAATATAATAATATGTATGCATTTTTAATTTTGTTTATTTCTTTATTTTCTATCAGCAATATAACTGCTTTTTTTCCATTATATATTTTTAGAACATATTATTCCAGTAACCTCTTGCTTAAACCTGGTGCTGACTGCTTGCATGATTTATGTTTTCCATCCCAGTTCATTGCTTCGTGCTAAATCTGACTGTATGTGCAGCGCTCCACAATAAAATAAATACATTTCTTAGTTTTTCTATGATCCAGATTGCTCGGTATGATTTGCTGGTAAAGTGAATAACACTGTTAAGTAAATAACCTTTCTTTCTGTCAAGTTTAAAGTAACTTTAAGCTCTGATTATCTTGTTTCTGCTGATGGCCTCTGCAGTTTGTTCGGTTCGCTGTCCGTCTCCTCCCTACTTACCTGGTTCGCCGCAGACAGGGACCGACCCAGCGTGCGGTAAACACACGGAGACCGTGACAGCATCTCGATAGCAGGGGAAGACCTTTTTATTATTAGCCTGTTTATGGAAGCCGGGTTAAACAGCGATAAGGAAGTGAGCTGGTCCTCCAGAACGGTGGCACTCCCACTGGGAGGAACCAGCGCAACTGGCCGAGGGGCGGGTCTGCTGCACCGAGCGGGCGAAGCAGGAGTTGATATCAATCACATCCCACCACAGCTGGAACCAACTTTTTATTCAGAGATCTTTAGGTGTAGTTGTAGAACTCATGTGTAGTTAGTAACAATTATTACTGCATGTAACCATTACAGAAAAATCCTCCAATCCTTGATTTGTCAGAACATGAATAAAACATCTTGTTGGAATGATACCAAATGGTTTTATTTGTATGTCAGGGGTCTTCAATGCTTATTAGTCCAGGTTTCCCAGACTGAAGGAAAGATGAAGCAAAGCCCCCCTTGTCATGTCTGATCTGGGGGGTCAAAGTTTAACTTTCATCTTTGTTCTTAGGAAGATGATAAAACCTGTTAAAGGACTAAACAACTAAATAATTCAAGGATAACTGCAGTTAACAGGTCTTAATGCAAATACTTGGAGCATTTGAAAAGATAACTATAACATTTTTTCCTAGTTTAAGCAACATTGTAGATGTTACTTTACATGAATGTATTAATGATCAAACAAGGTCAATCTTAAATTTAGTACCCCCAGTTCACAGACATCTGATGTAGGTCATAAAATTAAATGGGAGTGGAGAATTGACCTCTGCATAATTAGCCCATGCTCTAACTTTTTTTTTTGCAGCTTTTTAATAAAAAACATAATCACATGACATAAAAGATTTTTCCTCTGTGGATCACAACAGCTCCTCAGGGAATCTTCTTCTGCTTGCATCCATGAATATAAATGATTAATTACAGGAAATCCGCATTAATACAGAGATTACTTTTTTTTTAATATAAACTATCTCACCTCTGAAGGTCGTTTTTGATAAATCTTTAGGAGTTTCCTTGTGTTTCAAAATTAGTAATTGCTTTGTGCTCAATTACAGACTCCTAAAAAAAATGATATATACCGAAGACGCTACTAATCATTTAAACCAAGATGTTTTTCCTTTTTTTTTAATATTGGTTTAATGTATGACAGGAAAGGGTGGGAGGGGTTGAGGCATTAAACCACACCTCCTAACCCTGAAGGGCTCTCAGCAGGTTCACTGCAAATAAATAAGCACTCCTTCCTCCTGAAAGCTAGACAACCTTCTGTGGTCTCTAACCGCACTTCTCAGGTAAGATATTATTAATTTGCTCAGATCAAACACTTAAGAATCATCTAATTGTATTTCTCACTTTTTAAGCTTTCAAGCATGAGTCTTTGGAGCAAAGGTATGTATTCCTCCAGAGACATTTGCCTGGATGACTGTGCTGTAGAGCATCTCCACCTCAATTATCCTGAGCCACCATCAACAAATCTAGGTCTTTTTTACAAGGACAGCAAGAGCATTAAAGGGCCGATTCACAGGACTGAAAATGCTCCAGGTTTGCCCTGTTCCAGCCCGCTGGAGTTTGATCTTTCCGGAGGGAGAACAAGATCTCCATCTTCTTACGGTCATCAAGTGAAGCGTGCCAGAGTTGAAAACATCATCAAAGGTATAACCTGCGTAGACATGACGCAGAATCTGAATGAGGAGACTGATTGTACGCAGGAGGAGGAAGGGGTTGATGTGTTGGCTTTCCATCAGAAACGCATGGAAACAAGAGGAGGTGAAAGCCTGAGAGAAAGCCATCAGCCCCTCAGAGAGTTCAGGACGAGTTTCATTCCCATCTGCAGGAATGAGAAGATTCCCAGATGGAGCGTTTCCTCGGAAGCATCCACAGATGAGGGATTTTCTAAATCCTTCAGCGAATCTAAAAGCAGTCAAGATATAAGAGATGAAGAATGGAAGAAGGGGAAGTCTGATGTCAACTCCAAACCAGGTCGGGTGAAGCTGATGGCAGATGTTTTAAAGTACGAGCTGACCCGAGCTGTGAGCAACAGCGTAGACTCCATTTTCAAAAGCATGGCGCTCATACAAAGCCCAACTGAGATGGAGAGTTTAGGCTCTGCTTCCCAGACAGCAGTGTGCATGGAGAGTAAATTACGATGTGGGACTGAAGAGGTTAAGCTCCATGACATGCAAACGGAAGCTCTGTCACTGGTGGTCCAAAAGCCGGAACCAGAACAGCCCAAAAACTTTACACTTCAATCGACATCAGCAGCTCCTCTTATCCCCAAACCTCCCTTCTGTGTCAGCCGGCAGCCTGAGCCATCAGTGCGACACAACAGCACAGATCATCAACGCCATGCTTTTAGATGTTTGCAGGAGGGATGTGCTGAAGGGGAACCAAGATTGGAGACGTACTGGAATTCAGTTAAAGTAAAATCTAAGGTTAACTCCAGATCTGTGAGAAGCCCTCTCGCCATGCCGGTGGATCAAGTGGTTCTGGAAACCCTGCATCTTCCTAATGTGAAGTTAGAACCAGACAGCTTGGAGAAAAATAATCTGTACATGTCTAACGTATCCTTCAGAAGCAATGGAGTCATTCAGATCTTTCACGGTTATCTTGATAGCTTTCATTTATAAATGCTCCGTATGATTTTATAGTCAGCCATAACTTTTTGTTTAATTTGTGGATTTCTTCCTTAACACTGCTGTATTTCAGGAGTGTCTAACAACAAACCATCTGAAAAAAGCAAAGCTGATGTTCTTCTACACTCGCTATCCAAGCTCAGTGGTGCTGAGAATGTGCTTCCATGATGTGCAGGTAAGAAAGGCTTGAGAATCTACCTCAACGATGCTTAAAATACTAAAAAAATAAACTGAAAAAAAAAATCTTCTGTATTTACTAGGTTTGTCTTCAGGGAACCTTTCAAATCTAACACTGTAATCTTTACTAATAGCATTTGCATAAAACTCTGGATACGAAAACAGACACAACCCATCACAGTTTATACATTTAATCCTTTATTTAACAACTGATATGTACAACAAACATGTTCAAATCCAATTTTGTTTTACCAGCTTCCTTACCTAGACTGTGTGTCATCCACAGTTCACGCGCTGCATCACCTCCCAGCTCATTAAGTGGTTCAGCAACTTCCGAGAGTATTACTACATCCAGATGGAGAAGTTTGCCCGGAGCGCTCTCCTCCAGGGGGCGACGGACGTGAGGGATCTGACTGTAGGCAGAGAATCAGAACTTTTCAGAGCTCTCAACATGCATTACAACAAAGCCAACGACTTCCAGGTGAGAAAGATCTATGACCTTCTAAGCTTAGAGGAACTGATAGCTTTAAAATAAAGACAATTCTAATAGTGTTAATAAAAGGTGAGCTTCTGTTTATACTGACTCAATAATTTTTTTACCAAATTCAGTTTAATTTTCCCCTTGATTTATTATTAGCTGTTTCATGTTATCAGTTACTGCATCTGGACTTTTGTAGGGTTTGGCCTCAATGTTTAAAGCTTTAATATTAATCCTTAAATATCATGCTTGATATCATGTCTTAGGAAACTTGTGAATCCATAGTTTTTAGATTTTTTTCTTCTTTTGGGTCTTTTAAAATTTTGTTTCTTATATATTTTGCCTTTTATTTTTACATGTTCAAAATAAAAATAATTCAATTAATTTTAAGAAAACTGAGGAAACTAACCCGTTAAACATGTTTAAATGCTGAGTTTATTTTTTGGAGTAAAATATAAAACGTAGAAGCACTGTAACAAAAAAAAAAAAAAAGCAGAAATCTGTGTATGTATAAACTATATAAGTATATATATAAGTATTTTTATTTTTACAAAGTTATTAAAAGGATGAACTTATATTATATTGAAACATCCCATTTGATCCGTTAATACATAACTTGACCAGGATAGCTTGTATTATTAGTATCGGTATTCATTCTTTCCACAGGATCATCACACAGTTCCAACACCTTGTAAAAGAAAAAAGGTTGATACTACTGAAAATGTCTAGTTATGTTAGTTAATACATTACCATCTCAGATCTAAGATCAGTTAGCGGGATTAGTTTGTTACACGGAGCTCATCATTTGCATATATTTTTTACAATACTTCCACAATAATACAGATTTTAACAATGATTGCAAATCAGCCTACAATAAAATGTGTAACAGCTGATTATAACCATAAAACATGTGCAGTTTTAATTAAGTTGCCTAAATACCTCCACATTGTTATTACTTATTTTCAATATCAGCCTAAACTATTAAACTGCTAGATGCCACCTTAAGGTTAATTTTTCTTTTTCGTTGATCTGGGTCTAAGTAGAGTAAATCGTTTTCATATTATCCTGTATTTTTTAGTCATCTATTTTTTTTAGCCACAGTCGCATTTGAATTTCCCCACTATGGGACAAAAAAAAAAGCTAAATATAGAAAGCCTTACAAGGCGGGTGCTATATAGGTATAATAAAAAAGTTTGATATTTTTCCTTTCTGCATTATTTGTATCCCTTTAATAGTAGATTTAACAGGGCAAGTCTGTAAAAATGTGCAGGTAGGGTAGAGAGGGTAACGGGACGGACGAGCTTCCATTTAAAACAGGAAATACAGAACATTTTTAAATAAGTAAAATGTTTAACTTTATCAAGTCAGATAATTAAATTGTTACTGAAGACCAATATCTGAGCTTATCTCTCCATACAGTCTCTAAAGAAATGTTCTAAAGATTGTAGTTTGTGTACAGTAGGAGTTCTTGTCACTTTATACATGGCATAGCAATAAGCTGGGTGAGCCCCTTCTTCTGCAAACCGCTTTACAGCCTAAGAAAACAAACTAAAAATAATCAACTGAAATTATTGCTTTATATAAACGAAATGTACACATTTCCATTTGAATTTCTTAAACAAATTATTATAAAATCTGTTTTAAAAACTGTAAAGTGAAGAATAGTTTATGCCTGATTAAACATTTTAGATATTTAACTACCGGTATAAGTGATCAAATGCAGTCATTAGAGACAAATCTGGTAATCAGGCTAGAATCTATAGAGGTACGGCCATATTTCCTTATATTGCAAAGCATGAGGGCAATGCCCAGTCTCTACTGGAAGGAAATAAAGGTAAAAATGTGTTTGGGTTTACTTTACTTGTTTTCAGAAGAACAGCAATCAAGTTTTTCCTGATAGGTCAGTTTCTCAGTCTGTATGAAAACCAACCGTGTCAGTCGATATTGTAAATTGTGTTGAACCATGGCTGATCACTGTGGTTTGATTCTGCCTTATTGGCTACAACATTATTCCGGGCCATAATTATTTTAATAACCCAAAACTATTCTTTTAAGAGCACTTGTTTTTCCAGTAGTCTGAATAGTATTATTATTTCGATATCCGGTGTTAGAATTTTTCATCAAAGAAGAAATTTAGCCTCTGCTATTTTCACCAAGCAGCTTGGTGAAAATAGTTTCACTGTTGAAGCAATCATTAGAAAATGGAAGACATGACTGTCAATCTCCCTGGGACTGGGGCTCCAATCAAAATCTCATCTCGTGGGGTCTCAATGATCCTAAGAAAGGTGAGAAATCAACACAGAACTACACTGGAGGAGCTGGTCAATGACCTGGAAAGAGCTGGAACCACGGTTTCAAAGGTTATTGTTGCTAATAAACTAAGACATCAAGGTTTCAAATCATGCACGGCACTGAAGGTTCCCCTGCTTAAAGTCGTAGGGAAACAGCTGTTCCAATCGTTGCAGTTCCAAATTCTCCCGAGTGGTGCATGACTTTACATAAGAAACAAAGTGAATGTTTTTGGTCGTTTATCAAGAGGGCGGGGTTGTTGTGGTGAAATGTTCACAAGCAAGTTTGATTGTGGCCAGTGGCTCTGAAGCATCTTGCTAACCAGTTAGCAACTTAGTGCTAACAGGTTCCCAATGGGAAATTCCATTGGGACCAAGTAGCACTAAACTGCTGACTTAGAAACGACACTGTCAAGGAACGCTATGAACAGCGGAAACATGCAAAAGGACGACAGTTTTGTGTCAGAAGTCATGGATGAGTCTCCTCCGTCATGCATTCTTTATTTAGAAGAGGAAAGTGGGGACGAAGATGTTTTAGAAGAGAACGCCAGGGCAGCAGAAGCTTCTTTGGTGTACAAGGCTGACAGCCGTACATGCTTGAGCCCTTGCCTCGCAATGCTGCCAGTTCTGTTAGCTCTACGCCTGCTGAAGACACAGATGTCCATCCCTGTTACACTGGGACGTAAACTCAATGATAAAGTAAATGATTCTTATTTCTTATTTCACAAGTTGCGTATATTAGCTGCAACATATGAATTAAGATGCTATGACCATTGATATATGATTGGGTGACAAGCTGACATATAACTAACTGGCCTGTATAAGATAACAAAACCCCCCACACACAGATTTTCAGAAAGGATTTTTCTTTTTTTTTTTAAATAGAAATTTTCTACATTTTGGGACAATATCGTCAGATAAAGAGTACATTTATATACATGTTTAAGCCAGAATGATTCGACATTTAAATATGATTTCCCTTCGACTTTAAACCAGTACATGTCAAGGCCCGTCTTAAGTTTGCCAGTGACCATTTGGATGATCCAGAGGAGTCATGGGACAAAGTCATGTGGTCAGATCAGACCAAAATTGAATGCTTTGGTCATAATTCCAATAACCTTGTTTTGCAGAATAATGGAGTACCATCCCAACAACACCGCCCCTAACTGTGAAGCATGGGGGTGGTAGCATCATGCTTTGGGGGTGTTTTTTCTGCACTAGGGGTCATGTATTGTGAGATTTTGGGGAACAACCTCCTTCCCTCAGTTAGAGCATTAATGATGGGGCGAGGCTGGGTCATCCAACATGACAATGACCGAAGCACAGCCAGTATAAGCAAGGAGTGGCTCTGGAAGAAGCGTATCAAGGTTCTCGGATAGCCTAGCCAGTCTCCAGAACTAAAACCAATAGAGAATCTTTGGAGGGAGCTCAAACTCAGTGTTTTTCTCGGCAGCAGCCCTGAAACCTGACTGATCTAGAGAAGATATGTGTGGGGGAGGTGGCCAAAATCCCTTCTGCAGTGTGTGCAAACCAGGTGAAAAACTAAAGAAAAAGGTTGACTTCTGTAATTGCAAACAAAGGCTACTGTACCAATTATTAACATTAATTTTCTCAGGTGTTCAAATACTTATTTGCAGCTGTATCATACAATAAAAATAGGTAAAATATCATACATTGTGTTTTCTGGATTTTTTTTTTTAAGATTACGTCTCTCACAGTGGACATATACCTACGATAACAATTTTAGACCCCTCCATGATTTCCAAGTAGGAGAACTTGCTAAATAGCAGGGTTACTTAAAAAAAAAAAAAAAATCTTATTTACTTAATAATAAATTATTACTGATTTTCATCAATATATATATATATATATATATATATATATATATATAAATTACAGATACCCTTACCCAACCCCTATGTTTTTGACAATTTTGCATGAAGCAAATTAGTAGACGCACGTCTCAAATGTTAACAGACACTGAACAAATCCAAAATGAAATTTGTTTATAATCTTTAGAGGGAAAACAGCAATAATTAGGAGTATGGTGGGAATAAACAATTACTTGATACACCACAGATTTGGCAATTTTTCAAGTCTGAAAGAATAGTGAGGTTTTTCAATTTCAGCATGTGCGGAAATGCCCTGGGTTGGCACAGTTCAACTGTGAAAGACAAAGAAAATCCAGAAAAAAATTAATACAATTATTTTTATTGCATTCAATATGTGATCAGCCACCAATCAACAACAATTCTTGGACACAGACATGTTGGGTCTTTAAATGGCTTACTGTTCTCTACTCATGTAAGAACTGCACCTTTAGAAGACACTATCTCTCACTCGACTATAACTCCGCCATCCAAACCAAGACGCAAGATCAAAGATATGTCTAAGGTTATGAGGGACAACACTGCAGAACTGTACAAGGCTGTAGATGGATACCAGAAAAACAACTTAGAGCACATATTAGAAAATGGAAGAAACTCAAGATAAATATCAGTCTCTGTAAGTCTGGGTCTCCATACAAGATCTCACCTATCGGAGCATGAATGATTATGAGAAAGGTGACAGATAAGCCATAAATACAAGGGAGGACCAGGTCCATTAAGTCAAAAGCAATGGGAAAAATAGTCTGAAAAGCTACCATTGGTAACAGACCAGCTCAAACCAGCATGTGCAGGCTCCTAAAATGTCCCTATTAGTGTGTTCCATTTATACTGTTCTAGACTTCTTGGTAGGCTGGGGTAAAATATTCAGAATGATTTCAGCATTCAGCATCAATGCAACCCTAATTAACAATAGTTAAACTTAACTGCTCTTAATTATCAGCTTTTGTTTTTTGCAGCATTTAGTCTCGCATGAACAACCTTTTAGTGTTTATAAGAGGATATTTTAAAGATTGTTTATAGGTCCAAATGGTCATGTTGAGCAATGTTCTTGCCATGGTTATAGCTGTAAAAGTGGCTGTAGGGGCCTTTTATGAAGATTAGTGAATGTAATATAGATATCAGCACTTATGCCAGGACAGGATGAATGCATCTTAACGCGGGATGGATGGAGCAATGAATGACTAGATTTTAGGCAACAATCTCCTTCCGTCAGTAAAAGCATTGATCATAGGTCATGGTTAGGTATTCCAGGATGGCAATGACTTAAAACACTTAGCCAGGTCCAGGAGTGCTCTAGTCAATCTTCAGGCCTGACCCAAATAGTACATTTTTAAGATGACACCTTCAGGAAATCCAACAAAAACATATGAACATAGAAGTCAAATATTTTTTTGGAGTCTGTGCAAAACTTGTTTAGAAAAGAGGAAAACAAATTGGTACAGAAAGAAAGGTTTCTGTACCAATTATTAGGTTATTTTATTAGCTTTGTGAACATTAATTCCATGAAATAAAATTAACATCTTAAATAACGTACAATGTGAATGTCGGTTTATTTTTATTCATTAATTTTTTTTATTGAATTTGTCAGAGTAGATGACATGGGAAAATGGCAAAAACATAGCAACTGTGCATCAGTATTTACTTTCCTCACTGTACATTGATGTAAAAGGGATGTATTGCTAAGAAGCCATTTATGATAAAAATAAGAATTAAAAGTTATAAAAAAGCCACAAAAAATCTCTCACAACTGAATGTTTAGCTGAGGGAATATGCTGAGTTTTTCCATGTCTGCATGATCTAAAAAGGACTGCAACGGTTACAAATTTACATGCACGTAATTTGAAACAAACTATCAAACGAAAACTTCACAAAAAAAAAAAAAAAAAATGCTACCAAAGATTTTAACAACACGACCAGCTCAGCTGTGCCTATTATAAAAATAACACTTTTCTTCATAATTTGAGATGTAGTCTATAGGTTTTTGCATATAAATGTGCCCTCCATTAAACAGATCAAATCTTCACATGTACAGAAAATGACAACTATTGTTAGGCCTGATGTTTACTGAAATTAACAAGGAATTCACGAGGAGTCAAGAAATTCTAAGTTTTTTCAATTCAGTGTGGCAATTTTGAAAATCTATAGGTGCATTTTGAAAACAGCATAGCGTGAGCCATTGTCTTCAGATCTTATGATTTTTTTTATGCATCATTACTTCACTATGTCTTGTTACTTACCTTGATGTAAACTACTATAGTGCAATTAATAGCACTATAGTGATTTAATCTTTTGTGTTTTAAAGCCACCAACTGAGCACGCAAATTGTAACAAACAATTCTCAAATGCATTCTCAGGTTCCCGACAGATTCCTTGAAGTGGCTGAGATTACACTAAGAGAGTTTTATATTGCCATTTCGATGGGCAGAGACCGTGATCCATCCTGGAAGAAGACTATCTACAAAGTGATCTGCAAACTGGACAGTGACGTTCCACCTGAATTTAAAAGTCAAAATTTTGCATGAAACCGTGAGAAGACATTTTTTTTTACGACATGGACTGACTGTGATTTATGTCATGATGACCAAACAATGTGTGTTAAGCAATTGAAATGTAAGAACACTTATAGACAGTGGAGTAGTAATGTTTAAGTATGTATCTTTTGCTTTTTAATACTCAACAAAAGTAAATTGTTTTAAATATTTAGAGTATTAAAAGGAAATATGTAATCTACTTGAAAGTGTGTGTGAACTTCTAAGTCATGTTACATGAAAACATACACGCCTGTAAAGCCTATTTTCTAAATGAATACAAAACTGAGTCCACACCAAAGAGCAAAAATATTTAATATTTTACAGAACATTGTAATTACATTTTATTCAGTTGAATAAAAAGGTGTAAAAAAAAAAAAAAAAAGAATCTACTGAACCAGTAGATAAGATGTTAAACAATGTGAGATCCATTAAACTTTCATTCGATACTTACAAATCTGTTCATCGCTTTTGATTTCTTCTGGTAGTCCCAAGGAAAAATGTGTCTTCAAGATGAGGTGTTTTTGCTCATTGGTCATCTTTTGGTCATCTTTGATTTGAATTCAGAGAATCCAGGAAGAACAATAATATTCCAGATAAAAAAAATCCAGATTGCAAAAATTAAACCCTGGTTTTCCTTAATTCTTCAAAGAGCTTAAATGTTTAAAAAAAACAAAAAACAATCAGCGATTTTAAAGGTTTTTTGCTTGTTCCATCTGGATGTTTGTCATAATTGATCATTTCATATCATAAAAGTCATTTGAATTTTGGTCAAAAATGATGAAAGTAAACACAAAATCCAGTTTTTAAAATTAAGCTTTTTAGAATTTGGGATAACTTAAGTCTTTTACATGTTTGTAGACGGATTTTGTCCAAGTCATATTTGCAGAATTGTATTAGCCACATTAAAGGCTATTCATGCATTCATACCCTTCTGTGCAGCGTGCATGCAGACAGAATTCCCGCACCGCATATTTAGGAAACCGGCAAGGGTTCGCAAATGTAAACATGAAGTGACATCCAGTAAATAAGCCAATAAGAACAACCAATATCAACAGATTGTGGAAAAACAGTTGAACTCAAACTTTTTTCTGTCGCTAATGGATGGTATTAAGTTTTAAACAACCGTGTTTTCTGGTTCTTCAAGTAGCGCTGTGTTTCCAGTAGGAGTTGTTGCCCGCTTGCCATGTTTTTCCGAACAGATCTTTTCTTAGGTGCACAAGTATGGAAATTCTGCCTGCACAGAGGTCGAGCTGAAAACGACGCAAGTTGGCTGCACAGATCTTCTTGACTTGTCAAGCACAAACCCAGCTTTAAAGCATTTATTCTCTTATAAGCTTTGGATCTGATGTCCGCACATTTCATTCCTTGTCACATTAAGGGTTGTAACCTTTGGAAAGTATGAACTGCCTGTGATTGGCTACTTTTCAGGAAATTAGACCTTTTAAGACTGTACTATTTTCTTTATGGTTGTGGCTAGTAATGTTAGCATAGCATCTTCAGGCTAATAGCTTTTCTCTTCAAGAAAAAAAAAATGCGTAAGTGGTAAATAAATGACATTCAACACAGTCGAAAATATGTTCTGACAGCAGTACCCCTCAAAATATAGAATCATATATAGGGATGCCGATGCCATTTTTTGGCCCTGATACTGATACCTGGCTGTGCAGCATTGGCCGATACCGATACCATCTGTTTGAAATTGTTATTGTGTGTGTATAAAGAACTGCATACTACTTGGATGTAAAATAATTGCCATCATGGCTTTGTCAAGCTGCTGCCTACATTTGTGAAGCAGAAAAAGACTAATGCAAGTGTTAACTTTTATTGAGGAAAGTATGGCTTAAATGATCACAAGTCTATAATTGAACATAGACATTTACATCAGTTTGCATCTAATGTTTAACATTTTTTTTCTTTTGAGTCTTTCACAGTGTTTACAAAGTTGACAGTTAATGAAAGAGATGGCTGTTGGATATAAAGTCAGAATTCAACTCTTGAAGAGGTAAGCAATTAGCCTGAAGATGCTTCTACTATTATGTGACACAACCAGGAAGACAACAGTATTTTTTAAAGAGACAGTCTTTCTTGAAAAGTAGCACCTGAAAAACTTGTGTTTTACTTTTTTCAGTGGTTACTACCATTTAAGTGATAAAAGGTGACACAATTGTGTAGAAACAGAGCTTCGAGCGAGTGGGAGAGAGGAAAATGCATTTGTGTGATATAATGGGCTCTTTTGGTACTCAATCTAAAAGCATAGAAAATGTGGGTGGGGAGTACTCAACGTCATATGTTAAGAACATATGTGTATACTGGGAAAACAAACCGCTCATATGAGTATTTATTGACCTTATACACTATAGGTAGAATTCTGGCTTCATACAGCAGAAGACCTCCAGTGCGCTTCAGCTTGAGGTCTGAATATATGGCTGGTCATTCTTTAGAATTTTTTTTTTTTAATAGACAGCAGACTTTGGATTTATCTTGGCCACAATCAAAGTGATTATAGTTTTGCAATAAAGTTGTCTTCACCAGAAAAAAAATATGGGGAAAAAGATTAAACTCTATGGAGGAGGCCAACAACCCTGAGCCATATCGGTTCAGTGATATGGCCACTGGTACTAGAGTTGCCTGAGGCCACCGGTGGAGCCAAGCTTCCCAAGACATGAGGACAGTTTGAGTGTGTGTTAGCACTTTAAATATGTTTCTACAGTTAAATTTACATATAATTTAAGTTTGTATCTTGCTCCTGCTGTGTACTGAGGCACATACAAGACAAGATGCTTTTACAACCACAACAGCAGAGCTACTCATGTCCGTTTTTTGTGGTGACATCAGTAATGTTTCAATCATCACCAACAATAATACAAAAATCAAATGCCATATATTCAAACTGAGACACAAAAGAAGGGTTACAACATCCAATAAAGTGTCAAAATAATTACTGGCTAATGTAGACAGCACAAAGATATCCATGTTAACTGGCAAAAAAGATTCTGGTGTGAGCTTTTGGTGAATTCTTCTTGTAAACAGGTGTGGCAGTAATCAGGACGGTGTGGCCAGAGAGAGAGAGGGAAATCTTGGTGTGATCAACTATTTTAATTTGGGCTAGGCTATCACGGGTTTGATTCCACCTCTTTTAATAATAAAACCAATTCAAAACTGCATTTTGTGTTTACTTGTGTCACTTTTGACTAATATTTATATTAGCTCGACGTTCTGATTCTTTGCAAACATGAGAGCAAAAATAAATTCAGCAATTTAGCAAACCCCCTGTACAGGAGTTGTAACCAAATATGGTGAAAGCAAGAGGGGCCTCCTTACACCCCAACAAAGAGGCACCAAGTAACTAAAAATTTCCACAATTTTTTTGGAAAAGTCAAAGGTATAACAATTCAATAACCGTTTTTTTTCCCTACACAGTTTATACTATTTCAATAACACATAGAGAAAAGTATTCTAACTTACATAATCATGGAGAATGTTTATCAGACAGTTGTCCAACATATAGTCTGACATAAACTTGGTTCACACCGACTATGTTCTGTGTCTTCATCATTTGTCACAAATTGTGCCATGCGTCATTCCACACTGGATGAGTGTAAGGTCCATTGATGCATCTGGACAGCCCCCTCTTATTTTGAAATGTACCCTTCCCATATTTGATTTCCTCTCAGGCTCATTTGCTGTTTAGAATTCTACTGATTTTACCCAGTCATTCATCAAAAATGGACTGGAATCTTATTTCTGAATGGGACAGAGAAGGACTCCATCATACACGGCATCCACGGGGCCACAGAGTTATTGCATTGCCTAGAACATTTTTAGTTTTATTTAACGCTCTGAACCCTCATATAAACGGGTTTTTGCACCATGTTTTTTTTCTCCCACACTGTTTACATTTGATCACTCCTGCACTATATGGAATGGAAATGTTCTGAAAGCTGTACAAAAACGAAATTTCATTTTGTATACACTCTGTGTATACTGTGTACACTCTGTGTATACAAAATGACAATAAAAGTTGTTCAAGTCTTCCATTTGCGAGGACAAAAACACATTTAAACCCAGGACAACTGGTAACGGTTTGTTTTAAGTATTTTATCAAAGCATATTAATGAAAAGCAAAGCAGAAGGAAAAAAAAAAAACTAAAAAGTAAACTGGCAACAGGGGTAACCACAGTCTTAAGATGATTGTGAAGCAAAATCTCAGGGGAGATTCATAAGTGCTCACTGCGGAGAAGTCGTGCTCTACATTACATGACTCATTCAAAGAAAGATTTGACCCCTTAAAATTACAAAGGAGAGTTTTGAGAAGTAGCTCCCACAGAGAATTGATGTGTGCTGTACATTGACCTAAAAAAGTTTAATATGTCAAAGTAAGCCAGTACTTAGATCAAAACTTGTGCAGTGTTGCTCCATTTTAACCCAGGTTTATAAGGCAGACAATAAATAAAAGACTGCAATCCCAATCTGTTTAGATCATAGTTTACCACATTATGGCAACAAACGTGAAAAAAATGCTTCATATCAGGTTTCAAACAATACATCTGACATACTGACATTTGAGTTGTGGTGCTTTCACTGATAAAAGTTAACAGAGTTCAGTGCTTAGTTTAAAAGAACTACCCTAGAGCATAACAGCCAGGTATGAACATCAGTCTTACGAGGTAGTGAAAAAATAAAGCCTCTTACAAAACGTTTAAGACCATTATTTTTTATGGCAATGTTCTAAATTAAATTAGTTTTATAAGGATTGCAAACTATATATTCAAACTGAGGCTTTTGTTTTAGCCAGAACATATCAGCCCTGGGCCTTCAACATGCTTCTGAATGTACAGAAGTGACAAACAAATAAAATTAGAACATTATAAAAGCATTAAACCATATATTTTACTTGCCCTTTTAAAACTTCCCTTAAATAACACAAGAGATGCTAAAGAACACTTTGGTTATGGTATAGGGGAAAAGAAGAAACTGCCAGCCTAAATAAATAACTTTAAACAAAATTTAAAAATGGCCTTTTCATAGTGTTAAAACCGATTTGAAACCCTTTAGCTTAGGTTCAGGCAGCTCAAGAACACTTCCTGTGTTCACTAAGCTTTTTGTTACCCATTTAACATTTGTCTGATCATCTGAATATACCAAAAATATTAATCTGGGTATTTTTTAACACTTAAAAATAAGTCAGCAACAGGTTATTGAAAGGAACTGGCTCCTCTTTAATGTTTCAAAAACCACCTGGTGACATGCACAGCAATAAGAGGCTCAAAATCTAGAAAAGGGAATTACAGAAAATGGGACTTAAACCATCATCTTTGTTCCTACATCTACTTCACATTGGATTGAATTATATAAAAAATATTCTGTTAGTTTACAAAAATAAGCATTAGCTTAACAGTGAGCTTAGTAGTTTAACAGATGGATACAGCGGATAAGTGTCTGAAAAAAAAGTGGTTTCAAAGCTGAAACATGCAAGACATTTAATATGGAATAGCAAACTGAACAGCAGATCGTCCGTACATAGAGCAACACACAACCGTCACAATGAAACACCACTGACAAATCATATCAGAAGTTTATAATGTTGTGAACCATTTATTTTACTCTACAACACATTGACTAAAACAGTTCTTTGAGTATACAGAACGAAGTCAAGAAGTATAAAACAGAAGACTAAAAGATGTCTGAAGCACAGATTATCTACCACAAATCATCCAGCTGGGAAAAAAATATGTTCTTTATATTATTAGTGAATGAAAATCAAATGACAACTGCTGGGATTATCGCACTGATGTAGGTTTCACATAGAAGCTGGAACGTGTTAACATTCTGGGCACCTGTTGAGAGCAAATAAATCATTTAGTGGCAAATTATTAATTTCAAACAGTAAAAAAATCATATGTTTTATGCTATAACAAAAATAATTCTGTCTGATCATTTTTAAAACATTCACATTATTCCTTAGCTGCCTAACATTTGCTCCAATCTTCCAACAACGGCCGGTTGGATGAAATGGCAGCTAAAAGAATGTTGAAGTAAAAATCTGATCAAATATCTCATCTTTTTTGTCATTAGCAGACAGATCGTTACGACAAAATGTTATATTTAGAATTTATGAAGAGCAGCTGCATCAACTTTTGCGAACAAAATTTGATATTTTGACACAAAGCACCAGAAATGGTTTGGTTTTATCTAAAACTGTGGCAGCTTTGAATCCAGATGCAGTATTAAGGGTCCAAGAAAGCTTTTTAAATAATCTAAACTGATAAGTTTCATTAAAAGCTAGTATTCAAGACTATCTTTTAATTGTGGATTTGATGCTGCAAAAAAAGGCTAACTTTGGATAGGTACTGTATTGAAGCAGTATTTAAATTAACAAATCTTGTAAAGATGCATCACGATATTAGCCTTTACTAATTTTTATGACATGTTCATGACATTTTTTTAGTAAATCTGAAATGGCTTTTAAAAAGCAGAAAGGAAAATCTACATACCTTTCCATAAACCAAAATAAAGAATTCCATCATCTTCTTAGAAATACTTTGTACGGTTCAGAGCTCTTTGTGCAAACTGTCCGCTCTCATCTGTTATTTTTTCCCAGTCCGTTTGACCCACTACAAAACCGATAGCACGCTTTCGATCTGCATCTTTCTGCTCTTCAAGATCAGCCCATCGGACCTTAACATAGGGGGGAAAAAAAACAAACATTGAGGGTGTCCCATTATAAAAATGAAACAGACATAGAATGCTTAAAATGAGATTGTACTAACAGAAAGCTAGAGACATCAGCCATAAAACGTACCCGTTTCTTTCCTGGAGCAGACGTGCGTGTGGCATAGTCATCTGGCAGCTGCAGGAAGTCCTCGATGCCTGACAAATGTTCACTGTCACGCTTCCTCTTCCCACCGCTTCCCAGGCCGTCCAGCTTGTCTTTATTAAAGGAAAATTACTGCTCAGATCATTCTTACCCTCCCAGGAAAACAACAAAAACAAAATAGCCTATTTTTTTTTTTTACCAATGCTCTTTAAACATTGTCATTCATGAATTCTTTACAAAAGTTAAGAGGTTATCTTCTGGCTTTAAAGCTAATTTTATCCCACGGCCATAACAGAAACCCTTAGTAGCTTTTAAAGCCTTCGAGTGAAGACATCTAAAGGCAGTACTCAGCATAAAGATGATCCTTCTTGTTAAAATGCATCATTAAACGATGAAGTCAAAATCACGGATGCAACATACTCTGTTATAATAGTAAATCAGATTGCACTTTGGATAAGTGCAGAGATGGTTTTGGGTAAAGGAGACAGAGGGGACTTCAATCTTAACCTCCTTTAGCATCAGCAGGTGACCATGAACACCTCCTGGGTGATTATCAGTTTCTCCAGTTGTTAAGGAATTTCTGCTCCGTCTTTTAACAACACAGCTTTTTTCATAGTGGCTTATGGGTACTTGTTTATACATAGTAAAACTAGGTTTACACTAGAGCATAACTATTAATTAATATAACCTAATATTAGTCCATTTTATGAATACTTGTTTTCCCCTTTCCTGCATTCAATATTCAATAGATGTTCTGCAATTTTTGGGATGTTTGTCAAGAGGCTTCATTTCAAAAGATCTTGCACTGCAACATCTTGCCTCACACAAGAGTTCATGCTGAGCTGCTATATTGTACTTGCCCCAATCAATACTTTGGTAAAGTCATACTATAGTCGTTCTCAAATTGTATGGACATTAATTTTCAACATTCACTATATGCTTAAATACACGTTACAAGTCAGATGCAGAGCGCACTCTCTTTTTTTTCCTTTCAATTTCTACTAAATAGTATACAGTCAGGCTTCAATTTAATGTAAATTCAATGCATCTAACCTGGCAAGAGGAGAAACGAATGTAAACACTTGCAGAAAAATAAACATAACAAAAAGCCCACTATATGCAGCATAATGGATGTGTTTAGTAATGGCCTTAAAACACTTTCTAAAATGAGCAGCAATTTCTTAAGGAGACCTAAAAATAATGAACTCAATAACAAAATCATTCAACCCATCATCTTATCATGCCAGGCCCAGCTTAAACAACAACAAACAAAAAATTAATGAGATGGAAACTAACTTCACTGCTTAAAAAAAAAAAGAAAAAAAAAAAGATCTATACTACAGAGGAAAATGTTTCAATGGTTTCTAAAAAAAAAAGAAGAAGCAGAAAATGCAATACCTACCAAGTTTGGCCTCTGATGTATCCATCTCCCATTTGCTTTTTGGAATATAGCCCTATATTAAAGACACACTGCAACGGTTAAATGTCTGGGTGATATAAGGGTGGGGGAAGAGTGTAGAAATCAGGGAAGGGGACTGGCTGGAAAAAGAGCAAAGCAGTTTATGAGAGGGCAAACAAGAAAAACAGAATAACAGCATTATTTGATAAAAGCGTGTCTCTACCACTGTTTATAGCATGCCTACAGATCTATTGTAACTTGTGACTAACTGATCCTGCATAGTACTGAATCAGATAGATCTATACAGAAAAAAAAATAACAGTTTAGTAAAATTTCATTCTCATTCTAAAGACTGTGCAGCCAACAAACATGATGGCGTCTCATCCTGTAGATGTATTCTTTATTCTGTAAAATAAAACTACAGAAATGTATGCTGCCCTATTTTTTTATGTGATAAATGCACATAATAGGCAAACAGAGAGTTTTGATTTTTCAGTGTATTATTTGATTACCTAAAGTTTTTTAAAAGACTGTATAATAAGGCTAACACAGAGAATAACAGGACAAGTTAGTAATGTTAATAAAATATTCAAGTTCGATATTTAAATATAAAATTAAATATGCTGCATCAAATAAGGGCATTTGGGGTCAAAAATTGTTTCAACAAAAGTTTGAACTGACACTTATTTGAACTAACTGGATTTTTTTCTAAAATGTTCGGTTATTGTACAGGTTTAATCTCCATCTATAATCAATTTAAAAATATGAACAAGTTATGTAGGATTCCTTTGCTTACAACAACGAGGGAGACCTCATCAGGCAATCATCAAATTCTACTAAATTGAAACAAAAAAAAAAAAAAAAAAACAGTTTTTGTGAGGTTTTCCTGCCTTTAAAAAGGGGGGGAAAAAACCCAAATATCTTAAAATATCAAACCAGAAAGTTTATAAGAGAATGTTTGTAGAGGGATTTTCCAACCTTTGGAAATTGACCTTTTGACCTTTCATTTCCAAAGACTTGTTGCTTACCTTCACATTAAACTGATTTCAAGGATCCTTTTAAAATAAAATCTTCTACAATAAGTGATTGACCATTTTTATGGAAACCAGCAGTATTATTGGACTTATGAGATAAAAGGGTTCAAGAAGTTAATTTGTTTTATTTTATTCAAAAGCATTAAATATATCGGATGCATAACAGTGCATTAGCACAGCCAAGCAGAATACGCGCGTAGGTTACGCTTAACCTAGTTTACATCTAAAAGGTCAAATAATTTAGACCGGATACTTGATGCGCTCATGCAATGCTACTCCTAATTTCAGATGGGTTTCTAATTTTTGACGCATTTACATTCCTGTTTGATAAAAATAAAAATGAAAGCAACATTCAACATCAAAGTCACCTAATCAACCAGCAGAGGTCTTGGTGAACTTTGTAAGAAAAATGTACAAAACCTAAACGTTTTTAATACAACATATGAAAACAATCCTTACAGAAAATAAAGCCCCAAAGAAGATTGTGGGGCAATTCATTACTGGGTGAAGCCAGTGAACAGTGATTTACAGAGAGCTTTCTGTGAAGTTTACCAAAGTCATTTGATTTTTTAAATGTTATATGAGGGGAGCATGATGTATAGCAACACCATAAGAGTCACAAAAAGAAAGCTGAAAAAGCAGAATCGTTCCCTCATATGTATCATTATTGTCACATATTAGTTTTTCTTTTTTTTTAGATCTTGTCAGTCAATAACTCACCCATATGAATGATTTTCTACTTTGAAATCCTGTTAAGCGCCTTGTGTACATTTCCGTGTAAGCTGATTTGTGGTGCTTATGTGCTGTTAATGCATCCAGTTTATTTCCCCTTTAAGAATTAATTTTCTTTAAATAATTGTGACATTCAATAGAGAATGTACAGTAGTTTGGTATATGAATGTGAAATAGATTTTTTTTGTGTAAAGCAGTGTTTAAAATGCCAAGAAAAATTAATTAACAGTGTCAGTTAAAAATATATCTGTTCAGCTCTTAGCGAAGATTAATGAGACACTGAAAATACAGAAAACAGGAGAACATCACCATCTTCTATAGTTCTTCCACAAAATATTTTAAAACCTTTTGAAAGTAACCCGAATCCAGTTTCTGGAGCGGATCACGTTGCTGTGAATCCTTCCCAGACTCTAAATGATACTCTGGAAAGAGGTAAAACTGCCAATATTGGCACGGTTTATCCAGACACTGGAGTGGTTTGCTTTTGTCAGCGTTCTCACCAGCGCATTCCAGCACAATGGGCCGCCACGCTCCAATTTGTTCACGATCCACTGAAATTCAGGTTGTTATATTGGTTGATACAGGATGATACACTGAAAAACAGGCTGTTATATTCATTTTTATTGCATTAATCGGCCCTTCCTCAGGGTTTTTCCCCCCGGCAGATTTCAGCACCAGCGCTGTTTACACTGAAAGTCAAAATTACATCGAAATCAGGCCGATAAACTGTCTTTCAATTGGCATAACGGCCAAAGAAATTGAGTTTTAAAATAGATTTTACCCACATATTTGGACATACGTGCGAAAAGTGCAGTGAAAACGTAAAAACCACACCATTTAGACTCATCGACTCACCGTCTTTGCAGGCAGTTAAACACATGCTTCTGAGACCCCTCTGGGCCTCTTTTGCAATAATTACAACTAAAAACGATTTACTAGCAATAACTTTGCCTTTTCATTTCCATTAGTAATCGTTAAATGGATTCATTACTGTTTTAAAGTCGTAGGGAAGCAGCTGTTCCAACGGTTGCAGTTCTGAATTCTCCCGAGTGGTGCCCGACTTTACACGAGTGAAGAAAGAAATGTGATTGGTTGATTATCAAGGTGGCGGGGTTGTTGTGGCGGAAGGTTTGCAAGCAAGATTGGTTTTGGCCTGTGTCTCAGAAGCATCTTGCCATCCAGTTAGCAACTTGGTGCTGGTAGGTTCCCAATGGGTAATTACACTGGGACCAAGTAGCACTTAGAAACAAACTGTGAAGGAACATTATTGACAGCATAAACATGCAAGAGGAGAGTTTTGTTTCAGAGGTTGTGGATGAGTCTCCTTTGTCATACATTTTTTTTTTTAGAGGATGAAAGCGGGGACGAAGTTGTTGGGGAAGAGGACGCCAGAGGACCTTTGATATACGATTGGCCGAATTTAGGTGTACAAGCTGATGTATAGCTAACTGGCCTGGATAAATAATGAAAAAAAAACCCTACAGATTTTAAGAGAGGAATTTTTTAAAAATAGAAATTTTCTAACTTTTGGGACAATATGGTCTGATAAAGAGTACATTTATATACATGTTTAAGACAGTATGATTTCATGTTTAGATATGACTTCCCTACAACTTTAAGTACCGCTTGCATCTGGTTCTAACCACTTGGGGTTGCACTGAAGACATCTAAGGACTGTTGGTGGCCAGTTCGTTAGTGGGCGGTGTCACCAGTCACAGCTTATTTTAGAAACTAATATCTCCAACCATTTAATCATTTTTTGCTGTGCATTTTGTGTAAACACACACTATTACAGCAAGTTACCAGTAGGTAGCATTAGCTTACCTCCAAATATATTGTAGTGGTTTCCTTTCATTGAATACTGCATAACTTCTCCAGTACATATTCAGGTTGCTTCATCTAGCTGCTCACAGCCTTTCTTTGCTCTCCTATTACTTCAAGTCTAACAAACAGCCATTAAATGAGCAGGCTAAAGTTGTGGTGCGTCTGTCAACCACATAACGGACTGCAGGCAGCCTTGCTGACAAAGATCCTGCCCCCATTGAGATGCTATGCCATTCTAATGGAAAATGAATCAATCCGATTTGAAGTGAACCGACCTAAATAGATAAGTCGTCAGATGCATTAAAGTGTCAATGTGGCTTGTCTTAAAATAACAAAAGCAAGAGGAGAAAATGTAACTTAACAGAAGCACATTTAAATAAAAGAACAACAAATTCAACCTGGATCCAATGACAATGATCTTTTTTCTTTTTCAAACAACGTATTACAGGAGCAACATTTCCCCAATACAATCTGTTGCCACTGCAGTATGTTGCCTTGCCTAAAATAAAAATATGAAATAAAAATAAGAGGAAACCAGTCTGATTTTCTCGCTTTTAACAATACCTAGACTGATCTTTAGCTCAAAGAGATTGTATAAGTAGAACTTTACCTATAGAGATTCAGCTGGCTTCATGAGTAACTAACATGACTTTAAAGGACATATATCCCAGTCTTGAGTCTGGTGTCCAGAACCAACTCATTCTCTAATGGTTCTTTCACTGAAACTTTAAACTTTTCCTCTACAGGACATTTTTTAAGGAAAAGTCCGGTCAGCAAGGAATGACCAATGGATCACTATCTATACCTAAAATGAATACGTTTGCAGTGATTTAATGAATTAGCAGTGATCAGTAAAGAATAAAAAATCATTTTCGATGCGATCACTGAGTCCGGGACTGGCCTTTTTTGCCCCAGTTAGATGTTGCATGAAGAGGGAGGATTTGCCATCAAACTTCTGGACAGAGAAAAAACACGTAATATGTAGCAGACATTTCGAAGAAGGTTTTCAAGACGACTTGGAGAATAGCGTGTTGTGTCAAACACCAGAAACAGCACTGGGACTTGCTTAACAGCCGATACCGCACCGTGACGTCACAAACCGGTAGAAGGCAGGAGTGCTATTTGACAAACATGGATTCCTCCAGTAAAGCACATTCACATGAAACTACTCTTAATCAAAACACTTATTTATTGAACAGTATGTAATAATGTCATATTTAAAGTACTTTCAGAAATTTGAGTATGACCGGACTTTTCCTTTTAGACCCCACCCTTAGATTATGAAACTCCCATTTACAGCATCAATATATATAAATTATTTTTCAATATTATATGCCTGAGGAATAGAATTCATGTCAAGTTCTAAATGTCTTCATTTCTTTATTTCATTAATAGCAGATTATTAGTATAAATTCAGGCTTATGCTTTGTATTTTTTGAGCTACCACAATGTCAGGCATACTTGATTTCATGGATGGTCATGCGTACTCTATGCTGACTCTGTGTAGAATGAAATAGGACTTCTACTAGACACATCCGCATGAAATTCAAGTTTTATGACTGCATACATTGTGTTACAATAAACTGCTTGGTGGGAATAGTCCCCTCAACAGGAAAATATCTTCACATCAAGCTGTTTATGCAACACTGCACTTTATTTTTTTGACCCAGCTGATGTTAGGAAATAGCTGGAAGCGCCAGACTGCTCCATACGATGTTGCAAGGACATGCAGTGTTGCTGCCACTCTGCCATACTGACAGGTGGGTTCTTATCCTTGCTTAGTTTAGTTTAGTTTTTTTCCAAGGCTACAAGGCAATTGAGCTCTTCCTCCTTTTCAGATAGCACCGTAGCAATAAGTAAATATAATTTGGCATGAGAAACACAGGAACTCAACTATAAGATCTCAAAGACTCCCAGACAATGTAGGCAGAGTCCAAGTGACTTAGTATAAGCACAGGATCCCAGATTCCTTGGGAGTCTTTAAGATCTTTTCACACGAAAGATGCTTGTTCTGGAATCCTGGTTCATTTTAACCCTTAGTGTGGTTTGTATATCTAGTGATCGAAAGCTAAAAACAAATAATTTCTTTTGGCTAGGAATGTGTTTTTCAATTAAATTAAACTGATGGAGGTTGCATTTTTTCTTTCCACTATGCAACCATCATGTCTACCTAAAAATTATTTGGGTCTACATTTTAGAAAATAAAAACAATATTTTCATTGTTTTTTGATTAGCCTGAAGTACAGCACCTTCCTGCAGTTATATTTGGTGCCCCGCCTTGAGCAAATCTTACCACGAACAATATTATTTGGTACTTTTCAGTGGGATGGTTAGGTTTGCTTGAAGAAACCGAACCAGGAGAAAAATTAACATATTAATAAAATGACAAAAAGTACAGTTTTAAGCACACTGCTAAAAATAAAAAAAAACTCTAATTTAGGAGATCTTCTCCTTTCCTTTGAAAGTGCCGTTATCATACAGAGAAAGTCATACATCATATTAGTCATTGGAATATGGTTCTATACTCAACATCAAACTAAAGGATTTAAAAAAAAAAGAAAATGTACACATGAAACATTTCCTTATTACAACAAAGCTTAGGACTAAGAGGAGCTGCACAAGATGCCAGAATTGGACCTGTAAAGTGATTCAGATTGTTAGAGTAATGCACTAGGCAACAGTTTAAGGGGTAAAAAGCTTTTCTTTTAACATATAAAATTAAAAGACAAAAAAGTTGTCCCAAATTGAACAGTAAAATTACTGCCAGGTAATATTTGTAGGGATCCACCAACAGAAAAAATTATTTCTGAACCAGTTTGTTTACATGCTACAAACTTAACATTGGATTGTTGGCAGATGGATCTACATGGTAAATGTAAAAAAAAAAAAATTAACTTAAGTCTTATGTATGAGCTACACATCTTATGTAGCTTTTTTTCTGTGTATATTTGGTGTAAAGCACAGTGGCTCTGTTCACCAGTTGAAGATTCCTGACTTAAGACATATTTTGCTATTCAAATAGCCAATGTGTGTGACATATACTAATAGAAATGTAATTAAATTTTTTTTTACATCTGATCTTATTTGTTCCCGTTTCAAAGGGGGTGCCAGTAGACATTGACAATTTCTACAGTTGGATTCAAGATGATCTCTTTTCACAGACATGCAAATACTATGTCATAATAGTGATCAACCTTCCTGCTGTTAAATATCACTAGAAAATAAATTAGCCTAAATGCTTATAGCAGTTATTTGGTATTTATATATTAAATATTACAGTAAAATAAAAAAAAATGTCCTAAAGAAAATGGACAGCAATTGCATTGTCATTAATTGTCTACATATACATTTTGTAAGTGTCAAAAAAACTTTAATAACTATAAGTAAATAGAGATGGAAGAAAGATTTTGTTGCTACACTGTCTTCCTCCTTTCTGGAACAATGTCTGCTAAAGCTAGGGAAGCACTACATCATTGTTTTGCCTGATCTCTCCCCCTGATCATTCAGCAGGGAAAGTTGATACAAAAACTTGTTAGTGTAACATGGGATAACTACTGGAGTCTGTCATCACGTATTTAATTACAATCAACCAAAGCAACAAAAGAGACGCACCAAGAGCCTTCATTCAACTACCGGTAATTGAATCTTCGTAAACTTTACTATAAAGCTTTTTAAATTATAAAATCTAAATGTATTTATTGCAGTATTAGCTTTAACTTTGCTATTAGAATAGATATAATACTTTAAGATCACAACCAACATTATGAGTCATTTTAAAAAACAAAGTCGCAAACATTTAAAAATATCGAAATCATCAATCGTATTTAGACTAGATCCTCTTAGCAGTTTTTTTAACTTCAATCTGTTGCACTCATTGATTTTCACCACAGTTTGATGCGCTAAGTTGGCTTTAGCTGGACAGATAAATCCTAAAGTCTGTCCTCCCTTAGAAGGTGTAGTTAACTTTGTGATCCTCAAAATTTGAGTTTGTGAACCCAACAGTCCCTTCACAATCTAATCTTTCATGATCAGATCAGGTACCAAGTGTTCAATTTTTAGAAAGGGTTAAGGCTTTAGGAGTAAAAAGTTACTTTATAATAAAAAATCATGCAGTGCTAGCTTTGCAGTTTACACGGCACACATTTTAAGTTAAAAATAAATAAATAAAAATCTAAATTAAATCAGCTCCTAATTGGTTCACGTGCGGAAACCAAATAGTTGTTGCTTTTCAATTTGTATCCACAATCATATTTTCCATTAATGCAAGCAGTAAGAACTGTTTAGTTCTTTTAAATTTTAAGCATTTTTTTAACAGTTTGTGCCAAAGATTTTGTAATCCAACAGGTTAAGTTTTAATGACTTAAAGGAAGTAGAAAAATCCACAGATTTCATATTGCACAAAGCCTTACTTCGATACTAAGTCCAAATTAGTGAACTTCATTTTCAAAAGAAGGGAGTTTTTATGAAGAACGAAAGTTTTAAAAACTAACCGTAAAAAAGGGGTTTCAAACAACAGTTCCACTATTAAAAGAAAAGATTTACATGATGCAAAAATCAACATACTTCTATCACCATTTTAAAAATCTGAAGATGTACAAAAATATTTGAATAAGGAACAGTATGAAAAAAGGAAATAGCCTATATATATCTTAAAATGTAGATATGCAATTGCTTCATATTGGCATGAAAATCTGAGTCTCGAATCAGTAAAGTCAGCATATAAATAATGAACAGATGTAGAAACACACTGTGTAGAGTTAGAATGAACTAAACTAAGGATAAGGACAGTTTTATTAAATGAACAACTTATTTTGTTGTTTTCGTGAATCAGACCAATTAAGCTCCTACAGTAATCCTGACAACTGTGGTCAAAAATCCACAAAAGTTGAAAATGGCACTGATGAGCCATTCATGTTCTGAAGGCTTGATAAAAAGTTTATGGGACTTTTTTCTAAACACAAACTCCAAATTAGAGATTTAAAAAAATGACTGTTTATTTTACCCCCACAACTTGGTTATTATCTTTTTTTTTATCTGCAGTGATAAGTGCAAATATTAAAAATGTTATTTAATCCCCCACATTACGAAACTGTGTAAATAAAAAGAAAGGTAACACAAGCATACAAATTTTATTTCTTTTATGTCAAATTTGCAATTGTTGTGAAATATTTGTATTCAGGCTCTAAGGGGAAGGCATAGTCTCCTGTGGACAATTCAAAACGATAATGTCTATGACTTGCAGCTCAAGAGCCACAAAAAGCTCTTTGGATCCCATAGAATAGATCTATAAAGCTCAGGCTAAAGTATTAAAACAGATGCAGGTTTAGGCTGTTTTTCTGTTTATAATGGAACAACTGCATTGACTTTATGTCTATTCTTCCTTTTAGCAGCTGGAAATTATTTACTTTTCTCTTTACATAATTTTTTCAGGAATAACATTCTATAGAAGAAAATGTAACCATCAAATTTTAGATGACGTAAGTTTTGCATCTTAAGGCTTTTCTTTAGCTGGACTGATGGAAAAATGGGTCTTTAGACTGTGAAGGCTATGGATCACAGTTTTACAGGCATTACAAATTAAATGTGTTTTAGTATTTCAGTGGCAAACAAAAAAAAACAAAACAACTTTTAAACATATCAGAGATGTCTGCAGGGAAATCATGAGACAACACAAAGCCGTTGCCCATAAAAATCTATTATTTATACATGATTAGAATTTGAAGAACACATGTAAGCATATTCTTTTGGATTGTACCTTATATGACCTGCAAAACATTTTTTTTTAATGTTTAACCAGAGCAAATTCAATATTTTAGCACTGGTAAGTCAAATATTTGTTTCAGAGGCAGTGTTGGGATATCAGAAATTTTTACATTGTAAAAAAAAAAGTAGTAAGATTAAGCATGTATTTTAATGCGGTATTCTTTTTACCATGTCTAAGTTTGATAACATTTTTCATTGGTTTTTGTTCTACTGTGATTCACTGATTTCTTAAACTGAGGGGAAAATATCATCTTTATTATTAGAGACCATTTATATAAATAAAAAAAATGAGCTGTTTGTTTTAATAAAACACTATTGTATCTATTTTTACACAAACAACTCAACCTAGTGTTTTTCTTAGTACTAGACTTTTTTCAATTCTCATGTGGTCGTAAAATTTTACCCAATGATTATCAGTGGATATTTTTATCATTTACTATGTATGTAGAAAAAAATGTATCCTAGATAAACCTTGTTTGATAGAAACAAACATGAAAATGTCTGACAAAGTGGTCAAGCTTTTTTTTCCTACCAGATCACTCTCTTCTTCCTCCTCCCTCTTGGTTTCTTGGGGTGCTTCTTCTGGGTTAAAGTCCTCCATTTCAACCTAAAAGAAAAACAAAGTTTAGCTCCAACAGTTAATGACGAATCAAGAGTTTAAACTCAGTATTACAGATCCATAAAAAACAAAGTCCTTACCTCCTCAATCGCAGCATCTTGAAGCAGGGACCGCACATCTAGGCGCATCATGTGACGAGGAGAGGATTCCCAGTTTTTGGACATCTGTGTACGAAATATTCCATTAAAAAATATGTTTTAGTAAATGGGAGAACTAAATTATCATTGTATTTTATATTAGATAAGGGATCGCTTAAACCTTTGTTATATCCTTAAGTGTGCGGCCATGGACATTCCTCTTTGCGCAGGTTTGAGTGTCAGCTGTGATTTCAGCTACATACACCTAGAAATAAGGATTTTATTTAAAAGTCGACAAATTGAAACCTTTGTTTTAGATAAGTTACTCGTAGAAACGACTCACCTCAAAGCCTTTAGTTTTGGCTGCACTCCAAAACTGCTCAAAATGTTTAACTCTGTCATTAATGGTGTCCAAAATGATGAAGGGGAAGAAACCGTCATCCAGAGTTTTCTTAAATGTTTTCAGCATGCTGCTCCTGTAGGTATCCTCCATCTCCGGCTCATACTCATACTCAAGAACCTAAAAGACATTTCTTTAATTTCATCACTGCTCATACTATCGGAGGGGGAAAAAAATAAAAAATCTGATCACAATCCATCAGATCAGTGATATTTGTTATAGTGTGCATCAGACCAACCTTGGTTTTTACTCTCCTTCCTGTGTCTGGGTCTTTCTCAACTTTCTCCACCTCGGTCATGAAGTAGTCATCCAGAACAAGAACCCTTGGAGGTGCACCACCACATTCAACCTCCTTGTCCTGAACACATTTATAAACAGTTCTTATGGGTTTCTTTGTCATTTCTTTGTATATTAACTTCACTTTTCTTTATCACTGTTCATAAGTATGCATTAAAATAAACAAAATATTGAAAAACATGGCAAAAAAGGCAATCTCTAAAGGTTCTCAGTGCACACCTGAATCAAATTAATAGCTCGCTAACTAATAGTAAAGAAACACTCCCAAGACTGTTTTGAATGCTTTGACTGCAACATCTTCAAGGCTGCAGCAAAATATGACAACTTATTAATGATGAGTATTGCCATGACTGTGTCAGCCTACATCAACAAATGCATTGAGGACGTCAGCATCAAAAAGAAGATCACCACCCGAGCCAACCAGCCACCCTGGATAAATGGAGAGGTTCGGAAATCGCTAAAAGCACCGAACTCGGGTTTGAAATCGGGTGATAAAGAGGCACTAAGAACAGCGCATGCCAACCTAAACCGTGCCATCAGATCAGCAAAGCAGAACCACAGCCAGAAGATCCAGGATCTTTTCCACAATGACAGCAACACCAGGAGGATGTGGAAAGGCATTCAGATGATCACAGACTACAACACACCCTCCCCCCGGTAGATGCAGCAAACACTGACTTCCTAAATGAACTGAACAACTTCTTTGGAAGGTTTGAGAAACTAAACAGCACTCCAGCAGTGAAAGCTGTTCCACACCAGGGGGAGGATGCACTAAACCTGGACGTAGCTGAAGTGAGGAAAACTCTGAGGAGAGTCAACCCAAGGAAGGCCCCAGGGCCTGATAACATGCCTGGGTGGATGTATAAGGATTGTGCAGATCAGCTGGCTGGTGTCCTCACAGACATTTTTAACACCTTGCTCGACCAATCCATAGCGCCAGCATGCTTCAAGTCTGCCACCATTATTCCAGTCCCAAAGAAGCCTCAGGTCAACTCAATTAATGATTACCGGCCTGTCGCACAGACTCAAATCATGATCAGTCTAAGCACAGGCTCCCCTCAGAGCTGCGTCCTGAGCACCCTGATGACACATGACTGCGTCCCCAGGTTCACCACCAATCACATGGTGAAGTTTGCAGACGACACCACGATCGTGGGCCTCATCAGAGACGACAACGACCTGGACTACAGAGAGGAGGTGGAGCAGCTGGTGGACTGGTGCAAACATAACAGCCTGATCTTGAACGTGGTCGCGGTCGGACCAGGCTTAGGTCAGTTAACCGTGCCAAGCTTAGTTCTTACGACCATTTACACATCATGCTAGCATGGACCCTCGCATATGGGCGGCCCACGATACTACAGCTCTCAAAGTGGGAGTTACTCAAACAAATATGGCAGCATCCACAACATTCAGGTACTTATGTGAATGGATAAAGTCCTCCGCCCAAATTTCAATGAGAGCCTCGGTCTCGGCATCATCCCTCATTGCACCACGCTCTTTTGATCCTGTTTAATATTAATAGGCTGAGAGGAAGATTGTGGTGTGAACAGAACTGTTAATTACAAAGCAGGCATGAAGGAAAACCTGCAAAATGAGTACGGTGAGTGTAAATAAGAGATGATGCGGTCTGCTCATGCGCTGTTTGTTTTCAGAGAACTGAGCCACAACTGAACTGTGCAAAGCCCTACTGTTGAACAAGTACTAGATCAAGCGCGGTTGCCGTTGCTTTTTCCCCATTTAGACTCAACAGTTATCTCAGTTACAGTGAATGGTACCGTACTCAAACCATTCACGGTTTCAAAAAGGGTAGTGTAAATGGGGTTCATTTTTCCTTCCACTAAACCTACCATTAATATGCAAGCAAACATGAACAAGTCACCAGTTCTCTCCATGTGGGCCTTAACATAACACTTCTATATTAAATCTACTTCAGCTGCTGTGTATTCTTTTTATATTAACTGACTTTCACTTTAAACTGATTCACTGAAATCTATTAATTTCATCTGATATCTCTTACTGAAATGTACCTGTACAGTACTTTAAGAAAAATAGCCAGAATCACTTACCCGTATAAGCTTTGCAACATGGCTTTTCCCACTTCCTGGAAGGCCCCTCATTATAATCACAATCTGTTGAAACAGTTTTTTTTTCAGTCCTCAGTATCAGCTGCCTATATGTCAGTGTTAAAGGAATGAACATAGTAGGAAGTGATGTATACCCTTTCAGGCCGTGATAATCTACCAGGTGTCTTGAGGATGTCATCAATATTTTTTATTTCAGGCTTCTTCTCGACCCGTGAAGGTGGTGGAGGGACTGGTGCAGGAGGGTGTGACCCTCGCTCCTCTGGATAACTTCTTCTTTCCACTGCATGACAATGTGTGCATTTCATTAATGTGTGGTCAGCTTACTTGGCTGTATTAGACCTACAACGTATCTTTTGTAAATAAAAAAATAAAAATTAAAAAATTTAAGGAAACTGTAGTTATTTACACAATAATATCTCTGCCTGTTTGAAAACTTCATCCGATTTTTTTAGCCATTTTTAGATTCTGTTTGTAGTAGAAAAACACCATAAAAACTGTTTTGAATAAAAATCAGTAACTAAGCCAAAATATGAAAAAAAAAGGTAAGATCAAGTACTAAAATATATTTTTTTTTTAATATTCAAAGGGATGAAGAAAACATTCCCACATTTGGTTTTTCTTTTTCAAGTATTTCAACCATTTTGTTGATGTGTCATTTAACAGACATTTTCTAAGACTGCAAGTTAACCCTGGATAAGGAACTTTGAAAAAAGGGTGTGGTGCCCACGTACAGAACGGTGAGCTGTAACGCTCGGCCCCGAGGCGCTCTGGTCCGGACCGATCATGTGGAGGTCTGTCATAGCTATGTCTTCCGTAATAATCGTCTTGATCCCGACTGCCACTCCGCTCCTTATCTCTTTCCCTGTATGATGATCGAGGAGCCAGTGGAGACCTGCAAGCAGAATTTGTAATTATAATTTCCTTGTATCTTTTTTTCCAAAACCATCAGAGTCAATAAAAATAATGACGTCTGACACAAAGGGGGAATAGTACCTTTCTTCAACCAAGGTATGTGTGCTTGAATCAGAGAAAACATATGAAAAAATACCTTTTAAGCAGAGGTGGGAACTTGTTTTCTTTTTTTTCTTAAATTTTATGGGCTTTTTTTTTAATAGGAAACTTGGAATATTCCCATTTAAAAGCAAAGACAGTACCTGTCATCTCTTTCTCGTGAATGGTAACGCTCCCTCTCATATCTGTCTCTTTCATACTCCGGGGGAGTTTCTCGGAACAGCTCCCTCTCTCTGCTATACTCCCGGCGATCCAAATAGGGGTCCGATCGACGGTCATGATACAGGTCTCTAGCATAGGGATCTCTTAGGCCAAGCAGTTCTAAGATTATATTTGCAAAAAAACAAATTTTAGAAATGGGGAAAAAAAAAACAAAAAAAAAACAGGCAAAAATGATGAAAACTTTTGAGGTCAAATTTTACCTTTTTCATAGAGGCGATCTGATGGCAAAGGGTCAGGTCTCAATACTATCCTCTCACCATATGAGATCCGCTCTACAGTTGCCCCGAGCTCTGAAAAATGCCGACCAGAACTTTTAATCACAGGTTCACCATTTTAACACCTAACCTTCATATTCTCTAGATAGTGTTAAACATTATATTAAGTTTTGTTGGACATACCGTGGCCATGTCCGTAATCAACAGTTTTAGGAGTGGGTTTGGCTGAAGCCAACTGTGGTGATTGGTAATCTCCTGCAGCAGCAGCATGTTTGCTTTGCCAGGCCACAGAATCTGTGCCAGGAGTCTGGGCAGCAGCACTTATACCCTGGTGAGAAAAGGTAACATTTCATACATGGCTCCTATACCACAATGTTAAGTATAAAAATCTAGATTGAACTTTAAAGATATAGAGCCCAATTTACACCACCCTCTGACAACAGATTCGTGCCGAGCTTGGATCAGTTAATCCTGCCGAGCTAGGTTCCTCTCCTCCTACTGCTGTCTAGAAATAAACAAACCAACATGGCGGCGCCCGTAACATTCCGGAAGTTTCTGGAGAGTCAGGCAAAGAAGGAAGCCTTAGGTGAATTTACATGCCAGAGTCGGCTTTTGGGAAGTGGATACGACAAACAAGTCTAATCAGGGCTTACAGACGAAGGAAACGACAGAAGTTGAGGCTCATCACACTGCTAAGCAGAATCATGAGTGGAAATCATGTGGCAAGGTAGGGAAGCTTGTATTTTTATGAATGTCTGTAATTTCATGAGGTTGACTTTAAGGAGATGCCGCGGTCTGCTCATGTGCTCCTTGTTCTCTTTGATAAGAGAACTGAGCCAGAACTGAGCCGCGCTGAGCCCTACCGTTGAACTAGTACCATGTTAGCGCGTTTCGGTTGTTAGTGGCGCGGTCCAGTTCAGATGTGCGTGCCATTTACACTCAACAATTACCGTGGCCGGACCTCTCTCAGCACACTTTCAAAAGGGTAGTGTAAATGGGGCTTAGGTTTCACCCTTCTTTCTTTCCTTCATTGAAGTTCTCAATCCCAAACACACTGCATATACTACAAATTTTATGAATGCAGATTTCATTTACCTTTAACACATTCCTAACATCAGGTGGGATCTCCAAGCCCAGAAGGCCTGCAGGAAGCTCTGGCAGTGCGTCACTGGATCCAGGCTGATTTTCAGTACTGGGGGTCTTTCCCTCTTGTAGTTCCCTTTTAAAACAAAGCAAGCCAAATAAAATTTATGGATAGTTTAGTGTGTTTATGTAGCGTACTTACACTTGTTTTTTTGTTTGTTTTTTTTCTCCAGATAATTGATCATATAAATTAAGATTACAATAATGAACAGATCAATGATCACAAAAAACAAAACAAAAAGAAAAACAGATCCAAACCACAGAGAAACTCTCAATGTTTTGTCTCTTACATTCACAAAGAGTAAGACATCAATTGCATAATTTCAGACATGGCGGTTATATGCTTAAAGGGGGTTTGCACCAACCAAAAACAAGCACCTTTTCCACACAATGAACTCAACAAAAATCTTCCAGGTAGTGGTGCAAGTTATTAATCTAAAGTTGATAGCTCTTAATATACCAATGAGTAAATATTAAGCAACAATTTTCTTAAAAAGAAAGTTTTCTCTTCTATTAAGAGGATCTTTCCAAAACATATCATGCCACTTTGGTTGGCTGCCCACATCGCCCATATTACAAAGAGCTACTGTAATCACAGGGTTTTAATATATAAGGTGTTCTGAATCCCTCCTACCAGGTTAAATACGGTAGGTAATTTATAAGCCTAGGGTACATAGTCACACTTGCCCAGAAATTGAATACATCAGTTACTAACTTTCCTTGTATGTCCTCTGTAAATATTTAGTAAAACTAGAGGTTGTTTTGCTAAACTGTCCCTGAGATGGACAAATTTACACATTTCCCACTGTTCTTTTCCCTTTATCTCAAACTATTTATGCTCTGAAAAGCCAGTATAATAATTTTCAAAATAGAGGATATGTATAGCAGTGTATGCTCAGTGAAAGAAAGGCTGCAGGTAAATGTTTGCTTTTTGCAAAGAATCAAATGCTGTGGTTTGTGAATATTCTCACAGTAAGACTTGACATATCTTAATTGGCAAGAACACCATATTTTGTCAAGAAATGGCAGAATCCAGAGGTGCGATAATGATCACTGATGTTTTTAAATCATATGCACTGCAATTTGCATCTGCAGTTAAAGATTAAAGGGAGTTACTTCTGTATCATGAGAATAATTTTGTTTTTACAAAACTGAAAAGTCTTAAACTGAGCATAATCCAATTTGTTAAGGCCCTACAAAACAAGACCAAGGCATAAAGATCAGACATCAAGCACAAGAGGAGTCCATCGGGCTTCATTCCTTGCTAATTTATAAGAACTAAATAGGAACCTACTAGGGTACTGAATAGAACAAACATATATGCAAAACACTTACAGGGGTTGACGTTAATGATTTTCACATTTCATTTGCCCAGAAACAATTTTTAATTGCCCAGTATAATGTTTGATAAATATAGTTCCTAATATTCATTTTTGTATATATATCAATGAAATATTTTTTTTTTTTAAATGTTTTTTGTAATCGAGTATTTTTTAAGTTTACAGGTTCCTGGTGTGCATATGCATGCGTCAGATAATGAACTTAAGCCTACATTACCGTGTTAACATGCTTTTCAATCCTTCCTGCACATTATTTTCAAACTAAACTTTGCTTTAAACTGTTGTGTGCTTGGAAAAATATAAATTGTAATGCTAAAAATGCAAAAAAAACTTTACAGGTTAAAAAATTACACTACTACTACTCAATGAACATTTTTTAACGTATAACCACTGTACAGAAGACTGCTATATGATAGAAATATTTACACTGTGCGCATGCAATTATTATTATTATTTTCCTTATCCCTGACTGATCATTTTTAATCTAGAGTGTATTATAGTATAGATTCAATTCATCATCCATCATCTGCTCCATCTAGCGGAAAATCCCGCGGCTTTTTCAAATCATGGCACCGGCAACGTTTTTGGGTCGTTTTCAGAGAATGTCGGTGATTTTAAAGTAATTTTGAGTGATAAATAAAAATTTTTTGCGATCATTGCATTTATCATCGGACTGAAATTTGTACTCTCCCGACAATAAAAACTACTTGCCCCGGGAGATCGGGCAATGGTTAACATCGAGCCCTGACTTATGATCTCCACTGTACTGAGATATAACTCTATTTTTAAAAGACAGGGTATGTCACTCTGACATACTATTACTTTGTTTCAATGAAGTGGATGCCAACTGGTGATACAGCGTTCTCTCCTTAGCACAATCAGTGCTGGGAACGACTTTGTGTTGCAGAGTGTGAGTTCACAGCTCACCATGTATGTTCTCACACCGTGTAACCTGACACTAGAGCGATCTACCTGTTCACACTGTACGTCTAAAAACCACGTCGGACTCAGCTCCGCAGTGAGATGGCGCTACTCGGACTTGTCTATATGGAAGCATAAAGGGGGAGGAGAGGAATATGAAGCTCACGAGAGAGAAACGAGCTGCCTTGGTGATTTGTACAACTTTGTGTGCTGAAAGCCCTAAAAAGGAAAAGGCAATGACATATTTGGACCAAGACATGGCTGAGAAAATGTCGCTACAATAGTCTGTCAATTTTATAGAAAGAACTCCATTTCACCCCCACCCCTGCCATGCTTCTGTGTTTTCATCTGAGAGGAAGAAGAACAATCCTTGTTTGCGCATGCCCACTGAGCGATTTGGCCACAATCGAATTATGTGAATTATGTTAGATTTTCTCCCGACCTCATGAGTCCTGATCCAGAGGTGGTCGTGAGAGGCTGATCATCCCTTGTTACCCCCTGTATATTACACGATGCATGAGACTTCAAAAGATGTCTCTTCATTAAATGAATCTAGGGCTGCAACTAACGATTATTTAAAAAATCGATTAATCGGCCG